TACTACTCAGGCCATGTCACCTTTCGCACTGTATGTTGTCAAGGTCTCTAGGTGTTCATGCATCTTTCGCACCAGAAGCGACAATGCCGCCGGCAATCTTGATCCTTGCTAATATCGCTCCTTACGGGTGCCCGCCGGATCGAGTTGTTGGCCAACCTTATAGTTGGTAACATAATCTTCTACATTTGTTAGTTGCTGTCGACATCCAGTCTAGCCCGTGTCAATATTCGCCTGCACATGCCGGGAGTAGCAAGTACTTGTTTACATCCCGGAGCGAATAACCAGCATGAGATATGAGAAGGTAACGAAGCCTTGCATATCTGCGACTCCTATATTGGGACTGTGCAGGGAGGTCTGACAGGAGTACCTGTGAGGTCGCAAGTCTGCGGCACCTCTACGTACGAGCCCGCGTTTCCTCACAAGGTGTTGGCACTGGCTCCCTGCCTGGCTCCCCACAAGCTTTTACAGCCTTTTCACACGCTCAAATCTTGTCAAAAATAAGACATGTCAGCCCCAGACATGTCAGTCCCAGCTAGCAACTATCTTTCATTCCTATTGGGCATGGCTGACGACTGCCAATGCTAATGTAACTTGTAAGATATCCTTTAAGTTACACTCTCTAGCTTTCCCCGCTTTCAGTGGATAGCTTCCAAAGCTTGATTTTGCCGATTTGAACCACTCTTGCCCAAGAGGTTGGTCCTGGAATTCATTCATTAGCTCCCAACTGGACGCGCGGGGTTCTACGGCTTGCATGCCCCTAGATGATGATGAGTCTGCTACGTTCTGACACCATATTGCAACGGAGCTTCGGAGTTCACTCAACCTCAAGTCATGTACGTACCTAGGTAGGTTTATTCATTTCCTGCGCTGGGCTCCCTGGTTGGTTGGCTGGCTTTGATAGTCTTCGGCTTGAGACGACCCAGAGGAGTCGGGCTTACCGACACTGGCACGTTGCTATGCAGCATGTAGCTTGTTTACTCGTATGGATGTCTAGAAGTCTAGCATCGAGATGGCAAGGTCTAGGGTAACTATTCACAAGAGGTAAAAGGTTATACCATGCCAGCTAAACGTTTTATACGTTTATCGGCATTCGCAGTCCAATCATTGACGCGAGTGTTTTCGCTCCTGGCAAAGATCAGAGTATGAACCCGTTGCTGGGCGCCCGGATTGGAGAGATCGTTTTGAATCTCCTTGAGAGTCCGGGAATCAGTTGAGGTCACATAAAATTTCCAGTATCTGTTCCGTTTTCCTTCTGTTCAGCAAGATCTAAACTAGCCGCGATCGTTAGGTTAGGCTTCCACGACAATTGTCGCAGGTTGTTTTATTACCACCAATCACAACGCGTCCCCTGTGAGCTGGTATGGAGCTTATGAAGGTGATATTATACCTCGAAAAGCAAAGGCAAGTATATCCTGATGATCGAGTTCGTTTACTCCGTAGATATTACTTTCAGTTCTCCGTTCCTTCACTACACGTCGCCACAGTCTTCAGGCGGGAATAAACACAAGCAATTGTAAGATAGATTCTTTCCGGCGCTACGAAGCGGTTATCACGCGATGCCGCGAATTCGCCCACACCATTCTGGTAATATGGCATGGATGTTGGCTGGTCATTAGTTATTTCATCAATTCCGCTGTACCTTGTTAAGCTTTGCGTAGAGTGCCTTTAGATCCCCGGCGGAGATCTGTGTTTGGCATAAACGGAAAGCGATTCGATTTGTGTTCAGCGTTTGAATCCACAGACCTCGCTCTGAGTAAATCCGGGTCAATAGGAAGTTGCATTTGTAGGTGGTAAGGACAAGCACACCATAAGTACGATTGGGTAGCAGCGAAGCATTAGTGTTGGGCGAGGTTTGTAAAGTTGACTCGTAGTCGAACCGCGAGCTTCCGGCGTAGAGATTATGCAGACAATCAGCTAACAGACCAGATAGCTACTATGTGAGGATCTGAAGCTTGAAGAAGATGGGGCGATATGAATCGCGGATGGGTGACTTCCAACCAATACGACAGTTAACCCCGTTCAGGCCTGATATGGGATGTAGTTTTCAGCGAATTAATTCGGAACTTCACAGATCAGAAGCAAATAATCCGATACGGATCGTACCCCGGATCGCAGGACGTAAAATAAGTTAAAAATAAGCCTACAGACGCGGGCCTTAGTTCCCGTACCATTAGGCTCGTGTCAGATGACCTCATGGTGTAGTATCAGGAAGCGAGATAGACGCGCAGACGGCATCGACTCGGGTAAGGCAACTAAGCTTCCATCGCCAAGAGGAGAATTTCACGGATACATTTGAATTACGTACATGGTATTTCCCGTGTTAGATTCCTCTATTCTGCCCGTGCGACTTTGATAGCTTCTGACCCCCTCCCTTTCGAGCCCCTCCATCAGCACCTACCTAGGTAGTTGAAGGCTGGGGTAGGATACGAGGGACCTCTGAGGATAGGCTGAGTCGTCCAGCCATTATCTGCGGGGTTGCCAGTTCGTGCTTGATTTCAGCAGGCCGGATCACTCCTGCTCTCGTTTCATTCGCCATCTCCAACGACGACTCTGGAGAGAGCGCTGCGGGTTGCTAGATAAAGCTTGTTAAGCCGGTTAGCTGTGGGTGACGAGTAATATCAACCTGCAGTCGTGGGCAATCCGAGAGAGTGGACGACGCCTTCATCGTGTGGGGATAACAACGCTAAGTTCACAGGGATAATTTTGAATTCAAGTAAGAAACTTGTCATCTCTTAGCCTAAAGGAAATTAAAACCCGTTGGTCCTAGGATGATTTAAGTTTCCCTATTTGAGCCAAGCACAAGTTTCTACGTAGTAAGGTTAGTTGATACAAATCATACCATACACCACCCCCCCTTTCACCCCATTCTTAAACTTCAAGCCCCGGTAGCTGAGTGGGAGACTAATGCGGCTGTCAAAGATGTGATCTAGCCAAGAGCTGCAAGCGATATTGGCTGCCGCGCCGAAGTGTGCGAAAGCTTACTCACCGGGGGGGATATATGTCTTACACGACGAACCCTTGTTCGTCTCTACGTAGAGACCATCGTCGAAAACTCCCTTGTCACTATGTAATAAAGCTGTCTAGAAAAAAAAAAAGTGTGTGGGCACCACGAAGGAGTTGAAGTACCTAGCTAGGGAATAGCCCGAATAGGAATGAGTAACCCTTAGTTTTATCCACCCGTCGCAACGCGGAGCGGCGCGACAGCTCATCTAGATGTTTCCTTCTGGGACCTTGCGTTGTTTGAGCCCCCCGCGCCGCCAGCGGAGCCCAGGCCCTTTCCTCATTTTCCCCATGATACGAGACTTGCGTTAGTTGGAATACGTTGTGTCCGGGCTAGGAGCCTGGACCCGCGTTGAGAACGCCCCTGAACGTGCTCGTAAGACCCTTGAACAACCGAGGGACAGTGTAACGATGATACCGGAACTGACGGACTTCCTGCAAGCCCCTCCCCTGCCGCTACTTCTTCATCTCTCCCATCCTCGTAAACCCCCATGCTGACGTGAGTTATAGCAGGCCTTTTTTGGGGCCGAAGCATGATTGCCATCCGCACATCCTCGCAGGGAGAGCTTACATACCTACCTAGTATGGTGGCTGCCCGCCCGCGCGCGCGTCGCCGTCAGATAAGTTCAGCTTTGGGGCGAAGAAGTTGGCGTGGCGAGCACAGCGTGGAAATCTCCCCCTTCTGCCGTTTTCTTTTTTTCTGCCCCATCCTCCTCCACAGTTGACCCCACGAGTAGGTAATGCGATCAGCGGAGAGGATCTTGGTCCTTCTTTGTTGAGGCATGCCATTCATTACACGTATGGCGCATGGCTTTCGTTCTCTTCTGGTGATCACGCGCCTGGCAAGATTACATTCGGGGGGTTTTTCTTTTGTGCGCGCCTCACCTTCTCTCCCTGAAAGCTCAACAGGCGTGGTCTTGGCCGCCCTGCCGTCTACGCCTCTTACGAACCGACGCACGATTCATCACCGACCCCTTTTCTCGAGCAACCTCTTCGTGTTAGAGGCTAGGGGGGTTTCATGGGTGATATATAGTTACACGGCTTTTCATCTCACAAGATTAGCACCCGCGCACCATCTCGGGGTGTCAGTGCCAAGAACATCCAAGAATACCAAGAGTCTGGGCGTGTGTCTTCATAGGTAAAAGCAACGACGGGTCGGGTGAAACGGATGGGCGGGTAGCCGCCACGGTTTCGCCACGATCGGAACGGGGCCGAAGAGGAACTGGGCCCAGACTTTGATAATATATACATACCTAGGTACGTCTTGGACGACGCCCGGGTTGCGACGGGAACGCATACATTGCCTTAGGTAGGGATGTAGGAGGTAGGTAGATTAGGTATGTATGTAAGTAAGGTCAACGCCGTATAATACCAGCCTACCTCACATATATACTGACCGCTTCATGTTTCTAATATGGACATTGCAGCAGCACGCATATTTCTCTTCTTGGCGCATGATAAAGACAGGATCGAGGGACAATTTTTTTTCTTTGATGATACCCAAGCCGTAACGTCCAACGCGGCCTCATTGATTACCCGACTTCTTTTCCTGTTGCTTGTTTTCTGTCGCTTTGTTTGGTATCCAAAGAGAAAGTTGCAGATGCAGATGCGGTCTTACCGGGAACCTCTAGAGCCGAGTTGGAGAGCGGTACCTAGATGATTACTTTTTTTTTTTTTCATAAATTTCTACGAGAGTATTTCTTTCTCTCTGATCGCTTCCTCGAATAGAATCAGTCCTTCCCGGAGACGATCGATTGAAAGGATCTTTTGAGGCTAAGCGACATGACAGCATGAAAGAGAGATGGAGACTTCAAGTTATACGTACCTACACCTACCTTATAGGTATACCTTAGGAGGTAGGTACATAATGTAATAAACCCACAGGGACATTATCTAGGTGTCAAATACCAAATTGGCGGTGGTAAAGCTTACCTACCTGCCCTGTATTGTTTTGTACAATACAATAAAACTTGGAAGGAGGTTAGGGCAGGTACCTAAATGTAAGTACCGTACAGCTCAATTAGTGCAACCTCGGCAATTGAAAGAAATCCGAACGAAACAGGCACCTACCTACCTGTATTGTACCTCCTAAGCTTTCAACTGTTTACCTATTTTAGGTACCTTAACCTACCTGTAGCTTAGCTATACGCAAGTAAGAAAAAGAAAAAAGCCCGATTTGTTCTCATTCGTCATTTCTATCTTACAACATCTTTTTTTCTCTCTCTCTCAAAACCAAGACATAACCCGGGAACCAGGTTTGACCAAGCCCATACAATCGCTCATCACCAATCACCTCACCCTCGATCCTCGAATTTCTTGTCCGTAAGCCACAAACGGCCATGACAAACCCAGATACTCCAACCAAGTGCGCCACCGAAATGCATCTGCCCGGCAGTTCACCGCCGAAGGTACACAGCTAATCTTACTACTCTAGACCGGTCCATATCCTCTTTGTAGGTGCTGGCGCAGTAGGCTGCTTCTACGCATCCCGGCTACACCATGTAAGCATCGTCACCAGTATGCTAGACATACAACTGACGGTCGCGCCGCCTTAATGGCACATCGTAGCCTTCCCACAACATCTACACCTCGCTCGTCGCCCGGTCCAACTACTCAGCTATCGCCGCGTCTGGAGTCATACTGGAGACTCGCTCATTCGGCAATTATACCTTTTCGCCCTATGCCGTGTTTCCCTCCATTGCGCACGCCGTCCCGACCCCGTCGGTTACAGCTAGTCCCGCACCTACACGGCCAACCCCGACAGATGGATGGGATTATATCGTAGTAACTACCAAAGCTCTTCCCGACCGGTCCGACGACGCAGCTACCGTCGCACCGCTAATCTCCGCCAAGACCTGTATAGTCCTGATACAAAATGGCGTGGGCGTAGAGGAGCCGTACCGCGACCGATTCCCGCAAAATCCGATTGTGAGCGCTGTTACAGTCATTAGCGCCGAGCAGGTCAGGAATGGTGTCGTACGGCAGAACAGGTGGACGAGAATAAGCCTGGGACCGTACGGCAGTGGACTCGGCACACCGCTAAACCCGAGCGGTGAGCCAAGCGATGTCGTGAAACGAGGCCACCAACACATGGATCAGTTAGCGCGATGGTGGACTCGGCATGGCGGTATTCGCGACGTCGAAACCCACACTGAGCTCGAACTACAAACCATCCGATGGCATAAGCTGTGCATCAACGCCGCCTTTAACCCCACAGCCGTGCTATCCGGCGGCCGTGGCAACGCCGACCAGCTGACCGATCCAGAGCTGCGCGAACACATCCAAGGGGTCATGAACGAGATCTGGAACGCCGCGCCCAAGGTCCTGGGATCGCCGTTCCCAGACAACCTGGCCAAACCCGACAAGATCATCAGCAGCACCGAGAGGAACCCCGGCGCTAGACCCAGCATGCTGCTGGATTGGGAGGCTGGTCGGCCCATGGAATTAGAAGTCATCCTCGGAAATCCCATCAGGATTGCCAGGAGGGCTGGTGTGGATATGCCCAAGTTGCAAACGTTGTACGCGCTACTGAGGAGTATGCAAAAGGTTCGGGATGAGCGGAAGGCTAAGGAAAAGTTGTAGAGGATTCTTTCTTTCTTTCTTTCTTCTTTTTTTTATCTCTTACGAGGCGTCGAATGTGTGTGTGTGTGTGTGTGTGTGTGCTTCTCAACTTTAGCGTTCGACGAGGATCAATACCCACCCAAAGAAAGGCTGCCTCTGTTTCGCAGAGTGTTTATTAGACCATATTATTGCAATTTAGGTAAGTAGTATATATATATATATATATATGCATTTCTGCCTCAATGGTAAGTCATGGTGACTTTCATGAGGTAGTCTCCATGGAATTGTATACCAGGTAACTTCGGAATTCATAGAAAAATATATAGCAGCGCTTTATTTCGGCAGTGTTATAGTTTATATAGGAAGTTTCTCTCTCTTATAGTTCAAAGGCAGCTAGTAGAAGCCAAGGTCAACGGGCTATTATTGCCTTATATCGTCCTGTCAGGGTTACATAAATCCACAAGGTGTATAATTGGGATAGCAGGTATCGTCTAGATGGGAGTGAGGTAGTACGTAGGACAACTACAGGATAGGAGGTATCTAGGCTTATAGACAAACAGCCGTAACCCCTTCTTATCTAATATAGCATGTAAAGTAAAGTCGATTGGATATTAAATAAAACTTAAACCTTAGGAGGTACCTACCTAACCTAGCCTACGTACTTATCCCTAGATGAAGACGATGTCATTATCAATATACTTCGTTCACATAATAAGATGAAGCTAACTGGTAACTTGTATTATAAGTTTTCAACTTGGCAATTAGAAGGTGTGATTGGTTTAGGTAGCTGGTATTACACAAACCACAGATAGGTACTCTTCATTCTTAGGTAACTAGCCCCTATTTAATGTGTCCGATAGTGAGGCTGTAGTTATAGTTTACCCCTAATTACAAGCTTACGAGGAAGATATATCAGTCAAATCAAAATTACAGGTATAATAATAATATTCTTCCAACTTCATTACGAGTATTATCTTAGGTGCATCTGCTTTAGGTTAGGTACCCATCTTATCAGAGAGAACCTTTGGCATGTCTGTCACGAACGGTTATAATCATTGCGAGCGGTGGAATATATTAGATTAGCTGAGGCGCCGGCAAAAAGGTAACTGGGTCAATCTACCACTAGTTACCTAGGTAGGTACGTTATATGTTATCTACGTCTAGAACTTAAGGACGGTCACGGCTTAGGATGAAGTCGCGAACTTCAAGGGCGTCCTTTGTCTTCTCGTCGTGCTTGAGGGTGCTGTACCTGCGGCACCAGTCCGGCGTGGCGACGATATGCACGTGGAGGTGTCCTATGCTGTGGTCGGGCCATAGATGGAGACCGAAGGTGAAGTCGTCGAAGTCCAAAGAATCGATCTGTTCCGCTAGTTCCTCCCAGTTGAAGATGGCTTTATTTCCCGCTTCTAGAACCGGCTGGTTATCAAGCCCTGCTTTCTGTTTTGCCGACAATCCTGTAGCAGTCCGGCTTTCTATGGCTTCCCTCTGGTGGTCTGAGACTCTATCGCGAAAGTCGGGGAACTCCCAGCATTCCTTGAATAAGCTCACCACCTCGTCGATGACGGATACAGTTTCGTGGTTCAGCGACACGCCGTTGAAAAGTGGCTTCTTGGGAATTCCTAGGATGTGGACCATCGACATGCCTGCTTTGGCTGGGTCCTCCGGGTACTGGACGGTGTTGAAGGAGTTGTGGTTTCCAATCAAGAGCACGTTTTCGCCCTCGACGAGGACGGCAGGAGCATGGTTATAGTCAGTGAACACCGTCTTCTGCTTGATCCATTTTTCATATTCAGCGTATTGGTGGTCTTCGGTCTGGTTCAGGTACGCTTCGACATCCTTCTGAGCCTCGGGTTTACTCTGGAATTCCTCATATTGCTCTTGAATCCGCTCGAGCTTGCCGGCGAAGTAACGGTTGCTTACAGAGTTACTCATGATGATATCTTGCTGTTCGGTTTTTTATGTGGTTATTATGTTTCTGTCCTTCTCTTTCCTGCTGCTTTCCCCTTCTTCTAATCCGACCGCCATCTTGAAGCTGCGCTATATACACACTTTCCTTCTTTCTTCCCGTTGCTGCTAGGTTCGTAAGCTATTTCTTTGTTTGCCAACCGTTCAATGAAACTGTTATACGAGGGGTCGAAACAAAGGAAAAGTCTCCTTGCAGTTTCTTAGAGAAGATGGAATTCATCTAGACGGTTCCTATATGCATGAGCCGCACTCGTTTATTTCGAAAGGAAAGGAAGAAAGGCAGAGAGAGAGAGAGCTTTGGTGGTAATTTTTAAGAATGTCATTATTTAGTTTGTTGTTGTCGTTGTTGTCAATGCATACGTATTATCCCGTCAACTCGGTTCATAAAGGAGTAGATTTTGGGCAGCAAAACTTTAGGTAATGCTATTATTTCCCTTGTGGCATCTTAGGTTAGATTTATGCAAAGATAATTATTCCTAGCTAGGTAGCATTGTTTCACGTCTGATATTAGGTTATTCATTGAGCGTTGGTAGAAGAAGACTTATGCGCTGTCTTGCACTATCTTGCGCTTTCCTCACAATTAATCAGTCGAGGAAAGTGATGTCATATATTCTTTATTTTACCTTTGTACTTGGGTCTTTCCTTCCACGGTCTTGAAACACAAGAAAAGGAGACAGATGGGCTGTTGGTACTCGGCAGTTTCGCTCGAGTTTGTACTTGCATTCAGTGAATTCCAAGGTTGAATGGAGTTTATACTCTGCATCAGTTATGCCTACTCTACTAAGTACATACCTAACCTAAGGCAATCGAAACAATAATTAAGACTTGACTTAGGTTCCTATCATGATCATATAGTAATTATATCAAATGAATCATTTCTAGATATAAGTTTATCCTATTTACAAATAAAACCAAATTCAAAAATGCGTATAAGGAAGTACCTAGGTTAGGCACATACCTAGGTAATGTACATGTTATAGTATCCCTGGTTTACGGGGTAAGGGAACCTTTTCGATTATCCAATACTTTTCGACTTAATTATTTCGTCTTAGGTAACTGTAACTATAGGAAAGCTTATCACACTTTAAGTTAAGGCTAGCCTACTTAAGGCCGGACTATTACCTCCTAAGACCTAAGACGGGGCCCGTCGTTCCTCTCCACACTTTATAACTGGAATCATCTCATTTGATATCGTCCATTCGCGAGCGGGAGATCTTACGCATTACCTACCCCAGCGACAACTTGACTCCACGAAGTTACCATTTAATCACGGGGTCGTAGGCGGGTAGGATAGCACAGCAGCAGAATTCGGCGAAATAGCACTAGGTAACAGACAACAATCTGCAATGTTTAGGTGCTTATGCAACGGTTACGTTCGTAAAGTCCCAAGGTTACGCGTACTCAATCCATACCGAAATGGGGAAGTCGTTACTTATCTCCCAACCCTTATTCCCGGTCCCAAACAACTGACATCTTGACGATGGGAATATAAAAATGTCACCGCTATTTTATTAATTCTTCATAATGTTAACCTTGTGACTGTTACAACCGTTGCGTACTATCATCAGTTCGCTCATAGTAAGCAGTGCGCCATCACGCCATTCAACTACCGAGACCGCTTGAGAATCTTATACGCTTTAACCTTTACGCTTTTTAATCTTATAAGCTTTAATTGCTCACTCACCTCCGCTTTCTGAGGCAAACCACCTTTTTTCCTTTTCTTTTTTTGGTCGGGATGGATGTATCTAAAAGCGACCAAGAGCCAACGCAAGACAAGCAAGAAGGTGCACGTGCTAGTCTCGATGAGAAGTCTTTAGGACTCGAGTACAATGGTCTTCGCATCGATCCTGACCTTGAGAAGAGGGTTAGGAGGAAAATCGATAGGCGTTTGATTCCCTTAGTTATGGGACTTTGTGAGTCGCCTTCATACTTTATGCCCCCATCGTTGCCCCGCACGGGCTCAAGACTTATACTTATACACGATGGATAGATCTTGTCGCCTTTCTCGACCGTTCAAATATTGGGAATGCTGAGACGGCGGGCATGTATGTTCATCATTTTCTCCTCTGTAGCCCGAATTACTAATTACTACCTACTATCTCCGTTCCTCTAAGAGGGGGGGCAATGCCGATATTCAAAGCCTCCCCCGCTCCCCCCCTAAGCGCGTAGTTGCTAACCAATTTCTTCTCGCCCAGGAGCAAGGACCTTGGGTTCGATGATGCTCAGTACCAGGTTTGTCTTCAATCAATACACCGTACACGAAACGACTTATAATATAATATTAACGGTATATTGATGTAGTGGCTATTAACTATATTTTATGTACCATATAGTAGGCTCCCTCTAGTTTTGAAGTCGTGCTTGTTCCGTTGAGATGAGTTAACTTTATATTATAGTTGTTTTTGAATGGGCTGCACTGATGTGGAAAGCCGTACCTCCGTAAGTTATTCCTCTCGGCCCGCAACAGGATTATCCTGCATTTTCTAATGACTACCTGTTATCAATAGGCATAGTATGTATTCGTCGAATCCGTTTAATTATATCGTCTTCTTTATAGTTATACTATTCCGGAAATACATGACATTCATCCTCCATTATGTTAGGTACATATAGCTAATGGGTATTTAACTCATAGTTTGGGCTACCAGCTGTGTGCTTGTATGGTAAGTACTAGGTACCTGTTATGTAAGAAGCATCGTGCGTCAAATACTTATTAGTATATAGGGGCATAGCGAGCTCTCTCCAGGCCGCCGCCTTCAACTGGTCGGGCTTAATGGCTTGTCGATTTTTCCTCGCTATGGCCGAAGCAGGGTTCGGTCCGGGAGTGCCATACCTCCTTTCTTTCTTTTATAAACGCCACGAATTGGGTGTAAGGTGTGGCATTTTCCTCTCAGCCGCCCCTCTTGCTGTACGTATATTTTTTAAGTCAACTACTAGTTCCGGAGCTTTTATGATTCTATGCGATTGAATGCATGTTTCCATGATGACGGATTGTACTAATGAGAATACATAGACAACGTTCGCAGGCGCCCTGGCTTATGGTATAACTTCCGGTCACCCGGCTCATATCGCCAACTGGAGGCTCTTGTTCATCGTGGAGGGGATCCCATCAGTTCTGGTCGCCTTTCTTGCCTATATGTACATGCCCGATTCAGCCGATACAGCGAAGTTCTTAACCGAAGAGGAAAAACAAGTCGCTAAGATTAGAGCTATCCAACAGACCGGAACCGAAGGAGTAGAACGTGTAGGACATATAAATTTTAAAGATGTTTTTATGTCACTAACTGATATTAAAACTTGGATTCCGCCTCTAAGTAAGTACCCCCAAAATACCAGCTTTTATTAAACCAGAGAGGTCATAATCTTGCGGGCTATTCCATTATCCTCACTTTATAGGTGGCAGCAGCTAACATTAGCCTTTCACAGTGTATTTCAGTTGCAATGGTAAGTAATGCAAGCTTCTCCCCATGATAATGTTGATTAACCAATTGAAACAGTCTCGTTCAGTAGCTTGCCCGTATTCCTGCCCTCTATTCTCCAGAATATGGGGTTTACTGCCATCAATGCCCAGGGCCTTAGTGCCCCGCCGTACTTTCTCTCGTTCATGGTGTGTATCTTGACGACCTGGATCGCAGATAAGACACGTCAGCGCGGGCTCATGATCATCGGCCTTTCGCTTGTTGCTGGTATTGGGTATATCCTTCTTGTGTCTTGCAAGAGCGTTGCGGTACGGTATTTTGGCGTCTTCCTTGCCGCTGCTGGTGTATTCCCAGCCATATCCAACATTTTGCCTTGGACTTTGAACAACCAAGGATCGGACTCTAAGCGAGGTGCCGGCATCGCACTTCTCAACATCATCGGCCAGTGCGGACCTCTGCTCGGAACACGAATTTTCCCGGCCAGTGATGGGCCATACTACATCAAGGGGATGGGCGTGTGCGCCGGGTTCATGTTCTTCAATGCTTTCCTGGCTTTGACCCTGCGCACATACTTGAGCTGGGAGAATAAGAAATTCGAAAAGAATGACGAGGCGGCACGTCAAGCGGGAACCAATGCTAAGGCCAACTCGATCGGCGTGGAGAACGAAGGATATGGTTACAGGAATTTCTTGTAAGGGGGTACATTGGTGGGTCAAGGGGCAGGAAGAAGAGATTAGGATTTGGATAGAGGGACGAGGCTATACGGAGTAGAGCATACCCCGTCCCAGCCAATTTATACCTCGATAAATGCCAGCCCACATAACCAGGTAGATTGTAGTTAATGGAAATAAAACTTGACACTTTCCATCTCATTTCCATAGGCACTGACACCGACCCCGCTATGTCGGAGTCCATGAATCCCACAATTTTCGACGTAAAATATCGAAGTCCAAACTCCTTAGCACAATGCTCCGCTTAATCAAGAAGGAGCCTCGTCATCAGGTACGTCATCAGGTACGCCCTCGTGATCCCGAAGTTCGTCTCTCCTCTTACTCCAAAACCCCTTACCGTAACTAACCAGGAGCTCCTCCCCCTTGGCGACCCCAGCTGCGGCCTTCTTGTTCCCCGCGTTCTTCTTCCCGGCGCGCAGGACGAAGACGGCCATGCACCTCTCGCCGCGCCGCAGGTCCCAGCACTCCCTAAACTCGCAGTTGGGCCGCGCCGCGACCCCGCGGTAGTCGTTGACGAAGCGCGCCTCGTTGCCCGCGCGCGCCGCGTCCACGGCGAGCCCCGCGTCCCGGTCTAGCCATAGGTCGTAGTCGGACTGCTGCTCGTGGTGGTGGGCGGTGGCGTGTGGCGAGGAGGAGGAGTGCACGACGCCGTAGTACGGCAGCACGAGGGTGCCCGGCGGGAGCGGGCGCGCGGCGAAGAGCCCGGACTGGCCGCGCGCCGGGTGCGACTCGGGCGCGGTGATGGGGAGGATGCGGGCGAGGGACGAGGGCCCGCGCGGGAAGTCCCGCGGTATGATGTCCGCGTCCGCCCCCATCTCCGTCTCCGTCGATCCGGATTCCGGGTCCCGGGGCCGGGGCCGGGTCCGGAGGATCTGCTGCTGCGCTTTGGTGACGTGGGGCGCGAAGCAGGGCTCCTGGAGGTAAGGGAGTGATGGCGGCCAGTTCTTGGGTAAGGCGGTGGGTTTGCCCATTTCGAGGTGGGGGAGGGGAAGTGGGGAGAGGAAGGGGGGAAGGGGGAAGGGCTGGGGAATGAGGGGATATACTATAGTAAGAGATTTATGGAATAATAGTGCGATTATAAGTGTAGGTATAAGTGCGGGTGCGGGTGTGGGTAGGTTTAATTATTTTTGCAAGGAGAGGGACAAAAAAATACTTCAGGCTAGGTATGAAATTAGCAGGTACTTCCTAGTTAGGTAAGCGTGGAAATTAGGGTCGGGAAACGTTTGGTGGTCTGATTGATTCAATGGCCCGGGATCGGGGACGGCCCTATCCGGGGTTTTAACCCGCATTAATTTGTTGTATCAAGCACGGGCAGAGTCACTGCAAACAAAGTCTCTGTATGTGTCCAAATAAACCACGAGATGAAATAATAATAGTACTAATAAAATTATATAATTATCTGTTTAAATTTCGCACGAATAATTCATTATTTCGACTGCCTACTTCCTAGGTATGTGGTTCAGTAAGTACAAGACTAACAGTTACTAGTAAATGTGAGTATATATTATATTGAAGGATAGCTGATTACCTCTTAGGTACCTAAGGTAATATAATATTCTCAGAAACAAACTGCGTATAGACACCTACCTACGTTCCTATACTTATACTACCTAGGCAAACAACTAAAAGCATTGCTAGTTAAATGTTTCAACTGTCCACTTACATATATATAAGTACTTACGAACTTGTCATCTCCATTATCCTCAGATCCGGTATGAAGTGACAATGACAACAACTACGTGAGCCATGCCACGCCACGTTACTCAAGATTTACCTCTAACTTGCCCTTCTCGTAAGAGACCGAGTAAATCTTTTTACTCTTTATCAACTCAATGATCGAGAGCTCGAAACTCGAAGGAGGGTCAACTCGAGTCTTAGCTGGCGGCGCTCTGTCGGGATTTGTCGGGTTAGCGTCCTGCCATTTAAAATTCGGTTTGTCGGTTGCTGGAACTTGCTGTCTCGGTGCTGTCTTTGGTGCTGCGAATACGTCCACAATTTCCGTGGGAAAGAGAGACGACGCGTCGGCCATTTCTACATCCTCCCGGAAGTTCTGGTTGTTCTCCTGGGTTTCCTGGGTTACCTGGGTGGGATCATAGTCGGTCATCTCAATCTCGGGACATACCACCTGCTGGCACAGCGGGAAGACGGGTGCTTCCGTATTGGGTGCTACCATCTCGGTATCTATTTCCATCATGTTTGGATCGATATTGGGTTGCTCTGCGCTGCTGGGTTGCTCGATATTGGCCTGTCCAAAGAAGTTGAATTTGTTCGCCACACTTACGGGTGAGTTTGATTCAAAAAGTCGACTTCTCCAGGACGAGCGCTCTCCCTTACCTGATGAAGAAGTCTTTACCCTTTTTGTAATCATTTTGTGTTTTCGAGGTCTAGTATGTCGAGTATCTACCGGAGATGAAGTGTGCTGAAATAAGGTATACTCAAGGTTGCATCTGGTAAACAAGTGTCATCATACTTATACGAAAAGCCGAAAAACATGGTTCTTTTGTAGACGCAATTCATTTGTTGCGGTGTTAGTTTTTCTCTTGATCTGTTTAGCAAGTTGGATAAAGAACTACAATCAGATTGTTTGGATTGTTTGAAATTATAAAGACTTGTTTTAATTCGGAAAAGTCTTTGAGGCCATGTTTTTTTGTTGTGAATGTTTCCGAGGTTGTTATACAATAGTAGTGTAAATGCGTTAGGTAGCGTCTATAGCACAACTTTGTACAATACTAAAATAGCGTAAAAAATAGGGTAAGGGGATAGAAAGTAGATGGGTTAATTGGTAGGTAGTCTTATATTAGCGCTAGCCAATCAGAGTTCATAGAACAAGGAAGTTTTTCAGTCAGCCCGGCAGTAATCCTGCAAAATGATGTCAACGATGTCGAGGGAATAAATGCTTCTTTCTACCTAAAGCCACTACCTAATAGATTAGGTACCTATCGAACGGATAACCTAATCGCAAATCTGAATTACCTTTTTTTTTTATTAGTTCGCAGCTTTAACTAGGACCCTGCTTCGGGTGCATACATTAAGTCATACATAGTACATGTACCTGGTAACCCTGCTAGCATATACCTCATGTACGACGCCATTGAAAAAGGTGGAAGTTGGAACTTGTAAGCACATAATTATACTGTAGGTACGCATTACGATGCCGATACCTCTCATTCCAATTCCCTGCCGCCACATGTTGCGTATGCTAAATAAAGAAGATACGTTGCATACCGCAACCTAATCTCCCTTTCACGCAAATCATTAGGTACCTACCTGGTATCTAACCTAGGTACCTAAGAGCCCAAACAAAAACCTTTTTGGTACAATACAAGGTACGTTAGGTACATACGAGGTACGTATGGATAGATCGTAAAAGAAGGTGAAGGGCAAGTGGCGACTTAGGTACCTAACCTACTACGTACTCAGAGAATACGTAGGGCTTTCCTTCCCTCTATACCAATGTACTGGGTTAAGACATCAGGAGGTACCTTGCCTTACCTAACTTAACCCCGACCCCACTACAGATCTGCCATTGTTGCTTTCCCATGTTCCAATTTCGATTTTGGGGTTTCTTCATTTTAGATGTCCAGATTAGAAGCAAACAATCTGTATTCTCTCAACTTGTTTTGGCCGTGCAGGTGGAACTTTTTTTTCCTCTCTTCTCTTTCTACTCCTCGCCCTTCCTCGTTCCTCGCGCTCATGCGCCACACCTAGTTCTCTGAAAATATAAATAGATACCTACCTAGGTAAATGTTAGTCTATCTAGGTATCTAAGGGCTGGAATATCGCTGCTATCGGGATATCTAGGTCGGGTTTGGTAGGAGCTGCATATGGGAAGGCGGGTGTGTTGAGAGTTTAAGTGATATATACAACCGAGGAAGTTGGGGTTGCGATCGACTCACCTCGACTTTTAGGTCGTCACCATTATTCTCCCTATAGCATGGAGTCAAGCCAGGATCAGGCGACTGAAAACCGGCGCATCGCTGATCATGCTCTTAACGAGTCCTCTGAGCCCGGGGCGCAAAATGACGACAACGCGACATCACTTTCTTGGCCATCCTACAAGGCAGGTGACCATGAAGAGCCAACGAATGCGCCTATACCTGTAGAAGATACATCCGCCGAGAAACCAAGCTCCCCTCCAATTTCAACGGAGGAAACCACCACGGTGGTGAATACCGATGCCTCGCATAACCAAGCATCGAGCATTCCTTCATCTTCTGGTGTAGGTGCTGATAATCGACACCGTCGTGATACTGGCGCTAGCAATGCCGACCTTTCGGATAGAGTGTTCCCTATCCGATCGGTCGTTAGTGTTGACCAGTCGCAACCGACGCCCCTAACGTTGGTAAAAAATCCGGGAGAACAAGGTTATATATCCCGCCAAGGCACGACTTGGGATGGCCGGCGACGACCAAGCAATGCTCGTATTTCAGTAGACACGTCCGATGGGCCCCAAAGGGCTGAAACACTGTATAGTACTCCTGTTTCGTCGTCTCTGGGATCGCCGAAGAATAAAGACAATATTGGAAAATTAAAGGAGGAAGAGATACGTCCCTCTAGCCCAACCCCAAACTTGAAGAGGGTTACGTCTACCGGCCCGTTGTCTTTTTTTAACGACGCATCTTCGGATGTTTCCGATAAGTCGAAGGACAGCATGATGTCACATCTGGGAGAGAACCGCTCTGATGCTTCATTTGGACGTGGACATCCTGGGGAATTAGACGATACGCTGATGACGGTCCGTTTCCGTCACGTGGTTACAGAGGAAGGCCATGCTGTTATTACTGGGCGTGACGGTAGCTTACAGCGATGTGAAGATGAGCCGATCCACACGCCTGGAGCCGTCCAGGCATTCGGTCTTCTTGTCGCTCTTAGAGAGGAAAACGATGGTCGACTCACTGTTCGATGCGTTAGCGAAAACTCCAGGAAGATAATTGGATTCTCACCGCAGGAGTTATTTCGACTCGAAAGCTTTACCGAAATTCTGACCGAAGAGCAGACCGATAATCTTCTAGACCATATTGACTTTATTCGAGACGAAGAAGCCGACCCAACTACTAATGGGCCTGACGTATTCAGCATATCGATACGACCGCCTCATAAGAGGTCCATAAAGTTGTGGTGCGCAACGCATATTAACGCAAGTCATCCAGAGCTGATCATCTGCGAATTTGAGCCTGAGGATGACCAAGAACACCCCCTCCGACCGGTTGACGAGTCAATACCGGATGGGCCCCAGGACACCCTCTGCCAGAACCCAACAACAGAGGAGTTTCAGGAAAGCACCGAAATTAGCAGTAGACCTCTGAGAATCCTTAGAAGCGCACGGAATAGACGCGGCGGAGCCAGTGCCATGCAGGTGTTCGATATAATGTCCCAAGTTCAAGAACAATTGGCATCCGCGCCGAATCTACCAACCTTTCTGAAAATATTGGTGGGAATCGTCAAAGAGCTTACTGGATTTCACAGAGTTATGATCTACCAGTTCGACGCGGCATTCAACGGCAAAGTCGTGACCGAATTAGTTGATCCTGCAAACACCCGTGATCTTTACTACGGCCTGCATTTTCCTGCATCCGATATTCCGAAACAAGCGCGAGATCTATATAAGCTTAATAAAGTTCGATTGCTCTACGACCGGGATTTGGAATCTGCGAGGCTCGTTTGTCGATCTCCCGAGGATTTAGGAAGGCCGCTCGATCTCAGCCATGCCTATCTTCGAGCCATGTCTCCGATCCACCTGAAGTACCTTGCTAACATGGCCGTCCGGTCCTCTATGTCCATATCAATTAACGCCTTTAACGAACTATGGGGACTTATTGCATGTCATAGCTATGGCGCGAAAGGAATGCGAATTCCGTTTCCGATTCGAAAGCTATGTCGGCTAGTAGGCGACACAGCATCGCGCAATATTGAACGACTCTCATATGCGTCACGTCTCCAGGCGAGGAAACTTATCAATACCGTGCCGACTGACAAGAATCCTTCGGGATATATCACCGCCTCATCTAATGATCTTATAAAGCTATTCGACGCAGATTGTGGTATGCTATCTATCAGAGGTGAGACGAAAATATTGGGGAAGATTGAACAGTCCCAAGAAGCTTTGGCTATGCTGGAATACCTACGCTTGCGAAAGTTCACTTCCGTATTAACTACTCAGGATATCCGTGAGGATTTCCCAGAGCTACACTATGCTCCCGGTTTCTCAGTTATCGCCGGTCTGTTATATGTTCCACTAAGTGCGGGCGGAAACGATTTTATCGTCTTCTTCCGAAAGGGACAAGTTAGAGAAGTAAAGTGGGCTGGTAATCCATATGAGAAGGTAATTAAAGCAGGCACTTCGAGTTTTCTGGAGCCACGATCAAGCTTCAAAGCATGGCAAGAAGTCGTCATTGGGAAATCTAGAGAGTGGTCCGAGGAGCAGGTGGAAACTGCCGCCGTCCTCTGTTTAGTATACGGTATGTACAGTATTGCATACCGATGCTTACCTTTCCCCCTTTAACTCACATAAACTTACACTGAACTAGGAAAATTCATTGAGGTCTGGAGGCAGAAAGAAGCTGCGTTGCAGAGCAGTCGACTTACTCGACTTCTCTTGGCAAATTCTGCCCATGAGGTCCGCACTCCCTTGAACGCAATCATTAATTGTTTAGAAATTGCTATGGAAGGGCCCCTAGAGCAAGAGACTAGAGAAAACTTGGCAAGATCTCATTCAGCTTCTAAGTCGCTCATATACGTGATCAACGACCTCCTTGACCTCACTAATATGGAAGAGGGTCAAGAGTTGATCAAAGATGAAGTTCTGGACTTGCCAGCTTGCATTCGTGAAGCAACTGAGCCCTTTAAAGTAGACGCTAAGCGGAAAGCGCTATCTTACGAAGTCATCGAACATCCCGGACTTCCCCGATATGTCCATGGCGACTATCGCCGGGTACGGCAGGTAGTAGCAAATGTGACAGCAAACGCTATTCAGCATACGAGCGAGGGTTCAATAAGGGTCGAATCATATGCCGCAGAGGTCAACGAGTCCCGCGTTAAAGTTGAAATTGTTGTTCAAGACACCGGCCGCGGTATGAGCAACGAAAAACTTGATGGCCTCTTTCGAGACTTGGAGCAAGTAAGCATGGATGCGGATTCATCTACATCTGTTGACGACATGGAGAAGCCAGGGGACAATCGCTTCCTTGGCCTGGGTCTTGCTGTTGTTGCGAGGATTTTGCGTAATATGAATGGCCAACTGCGACTAAAATCCGAAGAGGGGAAAGGATCAAGATTCATCATCCAGCTTCCCTTTGAATTGCTGACAAATGAATCACTCGAGAAGCTCGACGCTACTGATGCTACTGCTAACACCATAGCTATTTCAAGTACAGCTCCCGTCGTCAAAGCCTTTCCTCTACGAGATGCTGATGAAGTCATGCTCATTAATCGAAAGAGCTCCATCTCTATCAACGCATCAAAGCGCGCAAGCGTTGAAAGGAGAAGCTTCGACGAGACTAAGAGTGTCACTAGTATAAGAAGCGCTACTAGCAATAGTGCTCACAGCAATAAGAGTGACGCGGATCGTCTTATTGACGCAATTAAAACGCCCCTCTCATTAGGAAACTTCGAAGAAAGGGCTACTGGCATAGACCGTTTACATTCGAGAGAACGTCAAAATAATGACTTGGACACTTTACCGGGATCAGACATGGTCCATCCATCAACAATCGATATGAATGGCTTGGATCGGTCAGGCTTAGGGCAGGCTGGATTTCCCACAGACGAATCTGAGGGCCAGTACCGTGTTGCAGATACCAAGACGCCCATAAGGCCTATTAAGGTGCCAGATGAATATTTTGATAAACCAATGGTGTCTTCGGTTGGCACTGCACCCCAAGCGGCGCTCGAAACCGATGGAAAGATTCAAACTAGCAAAGAGGAAGCAAGTAACCCCAAGCTTGGATCCCCTACGCATTCAGGTAAACTGCAGGTGCTTATTGCTGAGGATGACCCTATAAACATGAAGATACTGCGAAAGCGTCTAGAGAAAGCCGGGCACGAAGTATATCATGCCGTCAATGGCGAAGATTGTGCCAGTGTTTATAAAGAAAAGCCCGCTGGTTTCGATGTTATCCTTATGGATATGCAAGTGAGTTATTGCACATTAACAAATATTCTGCGCTAGGAAAACTAACGACCCTGCGTTACAGATGCCTATAGTCGATGGTCTTACGAGTACTAAGATGATACGCGCCTTCGAGAAGTCGGGAACAGGCCCTGAGCCTACTCGTTCAGCGGCTAGCCACGAAAGGATTCCTATTTTTGCTGTCTCGGCTTCTCTCGTAGAGCGGGAGAAGTCGACATATGTCGAAGCCGGATTTGACGGCTGGATTTTAAAGCCTATAGATTTTAAGAGGCTTAACGTCTTACTTGAAGGAATTTCCAATGATGAAGTTCGCGCGGACTCCCTCTACGCACCCGGCAATTGGGAAAGGGGGGGGTGGTTCTTTGAATCCGATGACAGCAGTGGATCCTAGCAAATGGATACGCTCACTACCAAGATAAATGCACCAACAGAGTATATGGCGGCTACGTTACGATGAGGAATCTAGCGACAATTTAAGACCTAGCCTTGCGGTAGGGATTTCTTTTACGACCGAATGTTTACGTTTTCACATCTCACCTTATAGCGACATTTCAAGAACAGCATTACAAAGAGAATACTACGACGAACTTGAGATTTGGCATCTTTGGGCAGCATATTATCTTTAGAATTGGTTGATGATACATACATATGTTGAGATTTACCATAACTAGAGCAACGTGGTTCATGCGGAGTTACAAGCGCAGGAGAAGTATGAGCTAGGTTGGCCGTACATCGATTTCGGTATTGGCTAGGGTATAAAAAAGTTGGGTTTGGGGATCTACATTTACTTTTGGGTTATATAAGGGTGCTATAAGGGATAGATACACCATGAAAGTAAACGCATTTCATGGAGTTTGAGGTTTGAATTAAAAGGCGGGACAAGGGGTGTAAACGGTGTCCCCATAAATCGGCATGTCCCGCCAGACTGCCGGATAGAGGGCGGTATCGCGACTTTGCCGTGTCCCTTTTATCCAACATATGGGCTTGGTATGTGGGATGGTAGTTTGAGGCATTCGCCTCTTACATCATGAATCGGCGCATGCCGGTCTGTTGCGAAAGCAAAAATAAGATACCCTCCCGTCCATATATGAGGTTGTTGCATAACGCTGAACAGACTAGGAAAACGAGTGTTGTCCATACATGCAGGACGGAATAGAAGCACATAGCACAAGAGAGTAATAAAAATGATGGAGTTGACACGAGAGTGGATCTGAAGCTTCCCATTATTGAGGCGACAAGTTTCAAGCCCTCGGGCTCTACTTTACCCCTTCTACATATTTACTTCATGTGACTCATTACACCCGCGTTCCTCTCCCAATGTTCATATTTCATGTCCTCAATCCCCTTCGTGCTCGTACGTAACCGCCTATGGTCATCCGGCAAGACAAAACCCAACACAATATACGTTGCCCGACATATCAAACACTTGCATCCCTGAGCCCCAATAAGATGCGTATACCGCGCCCGTGATCCCGAATACCCCGTTTCTCCTTTTATGTACATTTAGATCGTAAATGCCGTAATATATATGCGTGTAAATGACAATAACAATGTGGTGCTGGCCAAGCTCGACTGGCCACGGTCTGCCTGCATATAGCTGCTGGTTGCTTCCAAGAACTTGCTTTCGCCTACGGCCTGAAAGGGTTTTGGCTGCGAGGTTCAGATGTTCTGTCCTCTGGGCAAAAATACCTTCGATGTGATAGGCATATCGAATACTCCAGAATAGCACTCGTAAGCGTATCCAAGCAGCAGGCGCAAAACGAGAAAAAAAAAATATGAGGGGGGCACAGAAGAAGGCCCCGAATTAAGAGATAACGCCCCTAATCATAAAAGGCCAGACCTCGAACCGTAGATAATTTTTCTTCTTTCCCCCTTTTTTTCGTCTTTTTGCTTAATATGGTAGGTTGGTTATAAGACGTTTCCTTCCAGCTTAGGCTCACTCCCCCTTTTTTCTTTTTCTTTTTAGTCCTCGTCCGTTATGTTGGAACCCGACCCACTCTCTTCCGAGACGGTGCCTTGTACCCGGGCCATCTGGACTAATCTGTAGATGCCGAAGGCGATGAGGGCTAGGACGATGAACAGGAGGATGATGATGATGGCGATGACGTCGTTTTCCTTCATGCTTGCGGCTGGAGCTGGAGCTGGAGCTGGAGCTGGAGCTGGAGCTGGAGCTGGAGCTGGGGATGGGGATGGGCTGGGTGGATTATACAAAGGAAGGAGGAGAGAGTAGGTAGGTAGGCAGGTAGTGTTGCGGTGTGGGTTAAAACCAAAAAAGGGATGTAGATATTATATACCAGCTGTCAAGCAAAGCTGGTCGAGACAAGTTGATATAAAAGAGATACAGAATATCTCTTATCTCGTCGTCTTAAATAGGCGGTTTTGTCAAGCGATGCGACGCTGAACACAGCAGTAATATCGTGCTTCGTTATCGTCGGAGCGATAACGATTAAGCCGACGATAGATAGATAGCGAAGCTATGGTGATGGGTTCCCCTTAAAATAGGTGGTGGTGGGAAACGTTGCTTCGATTCCGTCCGATCGAAACTCGATGACGGAAAATAAAATAAAATGTACTTTTATTCAAGCTTGTATCAAGAGAGATAGATACAACATATGTCAAAAAATGCAGTATAAAAAAAGAACAAGAGAAAATAAAATAAAATAAAAAAGGGACACGACGAATGGAATGGGCATCGAGGTACAAATACTGTTGGTTGCCCCGCCATTCTATTTGAGTAAATAGCGAGGCTGGGCTTTTGGGAAAATCCGCAAGGCAGGAAGGAGATTCTTTTTTTTTTTTTTTCTTTCGCTTTTAGCTGGGCTTGGGCTTGGGTACAAAACGAACAGCTGGGCGGGCGGGACCAGGGGTACGGTAAGGTACAATTAAGTCGGGAACCTGCCTACAGGGGTAGGTAGGTACCTGAAGAGGTACCTGAAGTAAACCGTGAAGCTTTCCCTTGGGCCTTACCCGGTGGTTGGTTGGCGGCCAACTTTTTTTTGGAGGGGGATGCAGGGGGTTTCTGCCAAGGGATACATAGTAGTAAGGACAAAAAAAAAGTGGCCCGAGCTTTCCAAGCCTAAACCTAGAACTGTTTTAGCGCCTTGTTCCCCAACCTCCGGATTTCAATTCAAAGCTGCATCATGCCACGCCTTCATCCGTCCTGCCGTTTACCTAGCAGCCTGGGTACTATGTATGTACCTCAGACATGTAGGTTAGCCCTCTTTTCCCACGCGTTAGATCGTGTGTATATTGGGTACGTGATACGTGTATGTACAGCACATACATAACCAAATTGATTTCACCATCACTATTCCGTATACATACCCCTTTTTGATAATGCGTTCCTGTCTGCCAGAGGTTGAAACTTGAGAGAGGGAGAGAATGAATATAAGACCATGCTGATATTAAAATTTATAAGAGAGTATAGCTGCAAATGCATTCAACAGACAGACAATCAACAGGAACGAGAAAAAAAACGAGAACTCTTTTAAGATTGTTCGGTAATTATCCAAATTACGACGCCGTACTCGCCATTGCTTCTTCTGCTAATAAATCTACCTAATGTATAATAATATTGGTGGTACCTTTGATATCTTACTCCTTATAGCTAATAGCTATCGGACTATTCGATTGTACAGACCAGAAGTTCTCATATAAGAACCTGGGTGTTCTTGATGTTAGTGCTTGGGTATCATCCCAGCCCTCATCTGACCTCCTTATTCCGATCACTTATAAGTTCCTCTTAGACCGAGGCGCGCCAACTGCTGCTTATCCGACTGACATATTCGTACTATGGATACCTGTTATTCATCATTTACCCCGGAATCTGCCCTGACGATTTTGACACGTTGTTCGTAATATTGTAGCATCTGCGAGCATTACATTAGTGAGTAAGTCAAGAATAGCACTCTCCAACGCTGTCAACAAACCTTTTGCGGGCATCGCTTGTACACGACCTTGGTATCATGCTGGGTTTTGTTTCCGTTCTTCCACGTAAGGTATACGACCAATTTGCCCTTAACTTCGTCGTGGCAAGCGTCGATAGACTCGACTTCGTCTTCCCAAGAACCTACTGGTGGCTTCCAGGCTCGGCTGCTAGCCGGAGGTGTCTCCGAGGCGGGATGGCTTCCATTGCGCCGCCGTTTTGTACCGTTACTGGGAGTTCCTGACGCAGGTCGCCCGCGTTTCTTCGTCTTCAGTGCAGTTTTTCCCTCTTCAAGGATCTTTTCCAGCCCACCAAAGCTACTGAGGTACTCGTCTAGGACGTCGGAGGCGTTTTCTCTAATCCATGAAAGATTGGTAAGTCATGCGAAACCGGTATGTAAAAGAATCTGGTAATAATTCGTAGAATAATAGGTAGGCAATGATATGATTGCACTAACTTGAGGTTCTCATGGTCTTCCCATGTCTGATCCGACTTCTTCTCATAACCTTCCCATTTGACCTTAAATTTAACTGTGCCCTGTATGATTTATTGGTGAGTGTTCCGAGGTAATTGTGCGGCGCATACTACTTACATCGGGTTCGACAACGTGGGAGAGGATTTTCTCGACGATGAACCTAAACCGTCAGTCAGCCACGGTTTCCTGATCCTCCACCCTCCCTTTAATCGATCCACTTGGGTGCGTTACGTACTCATCCTCGTCTAGATTTTCATTGTCTTCTTCTCCATCGTCGCCGGCGCCATCGCCATTTGCTATATCGCCTTTCACAACACCACGCATCTCATTACTGTCGCGTTCTTGTGAGCTAGCGGAGCTCTTCTTTTCGCGTGTTGAAAGCAAGGGGACCGTCACTTCGCCAACATCGGAGGCTTCGTCATCGCTGATAGCTATAGAACAAAAAACTTTAGCTCCAATATTCACCAACAGTGAAGCATCATTCAAGATGGTTCGGGGGCTTGGGTGAATCGGAATGGAAAATGGCGCTGGCGCATCGCGATCGCGTAATCTAGATAGAGATAACCTAAACTTCGCGACGAGCCCATCCGAAAGAAGAAATGACGTACCAGGTGGCATTTTTGGGATTTGGGTAGAAGGAAACGTGTACGAGGACTGGATTCACGTCGCGAAAACGAATTGATCAACGGGGACGGTAGATGGAGAAAATAGAATAAAACGGAGCAATTGGATAACGGCTAAGAATGGTGAGAACTGGTAATGAAGTTATTGCGACAAATCAGAGCTTGTACTATGTAATAAGTTTGGCATTGCAGAACTTGAATTGGTCCGAGCTTCAATTGTTTGCGAATTGACCTGTCCGGCCTTGTAACGACCAAGGGGTTTTTGGAAATGCTTCACGGCTGCCCGCAGCTGGCGGGTTGGAGAGTCCATTTTACCATCTTGGTTAGACGCAGATGTGGAGTTCAAGTCTGGAACTCCTATTGAGCGGAATTGAAATATGTACATACGCGGCCCTAAGTGGAAGCTAGGAGACCTACATAATGGTACATAGTACATGTACATTAGAGCTGCTTCTAGACCCACCATTCCCGGTTCTACCTAGGTATCTTTCAGTTAGCGTTACTTGTTTTGAGACAGTGCTCGCAGCCACGCGTACAGTGTCTGTAAGTTATCAGAGTGATGGAACTTGTTGACGGTGACGGACGGTGACGGTCAAGGTTTACCGACTGCTGCTACATTTTGCTATTTGGTTTTTTTTTAGTTTCTTTTTCTTTTCTAGTAATATCGCATTGAGTAGTTAATTAATATAAAATATATATGTAACCTATCAAATTGTATGATTACAACCTACGTAATTATATAACATGCAATTAGCTATCGTAGGTAAGGTATTAATTATATTGTACCTGATATATATCGGTAGTGCTTGCTTACCTTGTCACGACGCGACTTCCATAGAATGGATATAGATAGCTACCGACATGTATGCCTATGCTGGGTAGGTAGGTACCTTTTACGAAAGTACCTAACCTAAGCTAAGGTAAGGTAGCCCCTGACCCCCCTGAACGGAAAATCCCCCAAGTTAAAAAAAAAGGGACCAAACATAACATCTCGTCCTCAAAGAAACAAATACATTTATCAACTTAAATCGCTTTTTCGCAACCGAAAAATATACCAATTCCCTCTCCTCTCGTAACAACTCCCCGAGATAAATGACTAAGGCATTACTAGAACCTTTGTTAACTATTAAGATTCCTCTTAGGAGTCTTCTTCCTGGATGAGATCCGGACGGAAGATGCTCCTTCGGGGCAGCTCTTGAAATTAATATATTATTATAACCATCTATATCTTTTCCCCGGATCTCTACATACCTACTTTACTCTACGACTCCCATCTCCTCTCGCATACCACTCGTTTATTAATTCGACTACGCCTTAATAATATCATCTATTAAATTATTCCCGTCCCAAACCAATCCGAATTCTATCTAGCCATGTCCGAGGGAGCGACCATTGCTGCTTCTGCTGCTGCCGCCGCCGCCGCCGTCGAATCCCCGGGTGGTTCTAAAGCAAGTGCGGCAAAGGATAGGAATTGTCCATACTGTGGCCAGGCATTCACATCTTCGTCGTTGGGGAGGCATCTAGATCTATATATTAAAGAGAAGAATCCAAAAGCCCCAGATGGCATTCACGATGTCGAGGCCATTAGGAAGATGCGAGGGAGTATCACCCGCAGGCAGCCTAGGGGCTCTCTTGCTCGGCGAGATACCTCGACCCCCGGCACCCCGACAGCCTCTTCGAGAAAGAGCCCCGCTCCCGATTCTATCGCGAAATCTAATGCTATACCGAAAGAAGGTCAATTTGTCGTAGATAATCAGATGCCCAGATATCCATTCCAACCTACTTGGGAAGCTACTGGTGTAATCAATGATATTCCGGCAAGGAATGGGGAATTGAAGAGCAGCCCAGACGATGGTAGCGGCCAAGATTCCAGGCGACTTCCCATGCAGCGTGCACCCAGCAGGACGGTCCAAAAGTCTCAGTTAGAGGCAAGACAGAAGCTTTCAGATGCTATGGATACAGCAAGAGCTGCCGAACTGGCACTTCGGGAATTGCTTAGTTCATGGAGGGCCGCGAAGTAAGAACCCCTTCCCGACGTTATATGGCTTTACGATACTAACCGGTTACGTCAATTCAGGCAGCAAATAGACATGGACTCTCTTCCGTTCGATTTCGATCCCCTTTCTCTCGACTTCCCTGCCCTTACCCTCCAATGTCTTCAAGCACCACCTACATTGTTTTCTTCTACACCGCATCCGACGTCGTCCTCCTGGTCCATACAGCCCCCGGCTCAGAAGCAATTCGAAGCACTCAAGGCATACTTCAAGGAGGAATTCAGGAAGTGGAAGGTCGCTTGCGCTACTGCAACTACTTCGACGCATGAGGATCTGACGTATCCTCCTTCTAAAGCGATCTTGCCTCGTGATGCACGTGATGCTGTAAAGAGGGCAGAAGAGGCGGCAGCCAAGCTCGAAGCACAGGTTTGCGAGCATCTACAATCAACTTATCATGTCTGGGAGCAACTATCCCTTCAGAGGAGGACCGAGCTTTGGGGTCTTGAGTTGGCAAGGAGCGTAGGGAGACGACAGAAAGAAGTGGAGAAGTTGAAAGAGAAACATTTTTCCATCAGACAAGAAAACGCCAACCTCAAGACCCAGATCGACCAGCTCAACCGTCTACAGCAGCCGAGAGAGTTCAGGATAGCTCCTCCAACAACAATTCCTATCGAAGAGTCTCTTCTCTCGTATTTGCTAGATCTGGGGAGCAAAGGCTATAGGGGTGTCGGTCTTGAGCCTGACGACCGCCACGTCGATCTTGATACCATAGTGAGTCGCGCTATTGAACGATGGAAGGCAGTCATCGTGTCGTCACGGGGAGCCGGTATGGCTGGACAGAGAACGCTCGACCAAACGACCTCGACCACCCCGACTAGCACGACCACTAATCCTGTACCCGCCCCTCAAGCCCAAATGGCGGCCCATCCCCAGCAACCACAGCAACCTCAACAACATCAGCAACAAGGATCTATTTCCATAGCATCTAATACGCAGCTGAACGAGCCTGCGGCGACGGCGGTAACCATGTCAGCGACCACAATGGCGCCCGCTACCTCTACCACACCCGACGAAAACAGCGACCAAGATGCCGATGCAGAAATGGAGGATGATGAAAATTTTGCTACAATCACTCCCGTCATAGCAAAACCGCCGACGCAGCCGCATCAGCAGCTCGAAATATCACGAACGAGGAATATTGATCAACGAGTTTCTGGTAATACTAAAACCCATTTCGCCGTCAATGGGACGATGCCTAATCAAGGAATTGACGTACGGCAAACGATGCAAAATCTGAATGCTGGTGCCTCAGTACCAGGGCGTATGCATAGTCAACACGGACATGCAATAATGAATAATGGTGATTATGGGTCAATTGTTCAGGGCGTTAACGGCGGCGAACCAATGTACATGGATTAATAGAGGGTTTCACGGCGATCCTGGCGTTCAAAATAGCGAAAGTTTGGTGGTAGTCCATCTGAAGCGAATCCCGGCAAAACAAATTTATACTCTAGCTTTTATTCTGGCCTCATGTATAGCTCCAGCGTGGGCGTATACGATTATTGTATCCGCTTATTTGTGTCAATTACCTAGGTGCCTAAGGCAGGTAGAGAAGGGATCAAAATATTAGCTTCATACTACTCAAATGCACATGTATGTAATGGTTTTACTGGTACTGCGCTATTGAAATCAAGGGTGAAACAGGGGGGAGGGGGGGTTATAGACTGAATTAATGAAATATATTATAAGCCTTCGATCGGTCAACCATCAATGCATCTTCCGGTACTCGTTGCCGCAATCCCCGAGTTTATCGAAGAGGGTCGTCACTTTCTGTCTTGACGAGCCAAGTGCAATCCTGTTAATATTGTACATGTCGCTGTCATCGAGTTCAAACTCGAACACTTTCAAGTTTTCGGCGACATGGTCCGAGATGCCAAGCCTAGTCCCTACGATAACCGCGCCTACCGCTGGCTGCTGTAAGACCCAGCGCGTTGCAACGTTCGTGAGGCTTACGCCGTGCTTGTGAGCTGTGGTCGAGAGGCTCTCGAGCAATGCTTGGAACTCCTTCCACGTGCCCCAACTAAGGATCATGTCAAAGTACTACAAGGCTTTGATGTTAGCCATGATGTTGATGTGATGCGATGCGATGCGATGCGATGCAATGGGCAGCGCTTAAGACAGGAATATGAATTACTCGCCTTGCGTTGCGAAGGGGTCAACAGGTTCGATTCTGTGTACAACTCAGGGGCTGGCTGGTGAAGCCATCTCTCGGACAGGAAACCTCCGCACTAATCTCATCATACCAGTTATCAGCATGCTAGAATACCTGATAAACATGTCAAAAAGAGCGCGAGGTGTCTTACGAACGAGCCATATGTAAGGAGCTTCAATCCGTATTTATCACATACTCGAGTCATCTTCCGCAACGGGCGCGCATCTACAAGAGAAAACTACAAGCGTGAGCTTAGCAACACGGAAAGAAGGGGACCGCCTGGGAACGTGGCATGCATACATGCATGCATGCTTACTTACTTGTATTTGATTCGATACAATCCCGACCGAACCAGTCTCGGCGATGAGATACTTGCACGACTCCTCGACGTGCTCGGAATCGAAGTTGCAGAGGCCAATCGCTGACACCAGCTCGGGGTGGGATTTCGTGATGCGTACTAGCTCAGCCAAGACGTTGAGGTATGCTTTATCCTCGTACTGTTTTTATATAAGAAAACAACGATCGCTGGCATTGAGTTAGGTACCTACCTATCCAGGTACCTAGGTAGTCAAGGAAGAGCGCGTACATCATACCAATGAAACTGTAATAGGTCGACTCGTCCCCTTAATCGTCGACACCGTTCGCGAACCGCATTGAGCACGAATGTCGTGGTTATAGGTTCGGGGACTGGCGAGAAGATGCACTGCGTTACGTTACGTTAATATCTGTTCAGATACTCCCCGGGACTAAGTCCCATGACTTCTATAACTCACCCATTTGGTTGCGGCATATGTCGTACTTCGTATCTCAGGGGCGAGCTTGCTCCTGAAATCGCCGTATATCAGTTCCGCATCGCCCTAGGTAGGTGGCATATTCATTAGCCGCAATCTACCGCCTAAACTCGACTATGATTTTCTCACATAGTGGTCGGCCATGTCCGTGGCCGTCAACCCGTGCTCCACGGCGTGCAAAAGCGCAGCCTCTTGGCTTTGGGCGGATCCGGAGCCCCAGGACGGCGACGACACCTGCCATAGACCGTTGAACAGCCGAGGCGCGCCGGACGACCCCAGCCAAACCTTTTCCATCGCAAGGAACCTCTCAGGTGCTTTGTTAGATACGGCCAGTTCATTTTCCTGGGTGGTGGTATTAACTGCTCCCGCGTGCTCGGGGAACAGAATCGTTAAGACGTCCTTGACTTGCCGCGTGGCACGTGCAAAGGGGAATGGCAGCGGAGGACGGCATTCCTCGCAGTACGATCTGCAGTTTCCCAAGTCAGCGAGCAAGCCGTCGGCCGAGCCTAAAAGTTCAGGGTTCGGCTCTGGGCCGGATTCCTTAAGCGCTTGTATTGCTTGGACGACGTCCCCGTCGAACTTGGCCAAGAGCATGGCGAGCTTGCTACGTTTGGTCCACTATAATAGAGCTTATATGAGTTTCCATCATCTAGGCACCTCTTAGAGAGAGTATTGAGGGGCATCACAGAGGGACATGTGTTATTTATGTTACGGGTCTAGGATCCACGGAAACAATTTAACCTAGGACGTCTCTAGGAGCTTGGAGACGGCGAGTCAAGGGTTGAGTAACGTACAGTCATGAAAATAACATACTCGAATTTTTGCCCGTGGGATAGCTTGTAAGAAATGCCTTAAACTGTCTTTATTAGATAATGTGCGATTGCATTGCGGGAAAAAAAAGGGGGTGGGGGTGGTTCTCACTAAGGGAATGACTCTAGAGATAGCTTGCACGAAAAGATGCATCTAGTCTGAGCAAGATAATTCAAGCAGGCCTCCGATACAATATCGTCCCCGGGAAACAGTTTCTCTGGCTCGTCGAAGCGAGGTGGATTTTCATAGAACTTTGCGCGTATATGCTCGACGAACGGTTGCTGGGTAGAAGCTCCCTGCGAGACTAGGAGACGAAGAGCGGACCGAAGGGTAGCCGGCGACACTACACTCTTTATTAGGACACGTGCATAATATTGGGATAATTGGGCAAATAGCAATTATATTCACGGACAGTTTGATATGAGACAGTCGTCCATCATATTTCTTGGGGTTTGCGTCAGATATGATGTCTTTACCGAGAGTGCCGTTGAACTATTACTTACACATGGCCCGCCATAGCTTATATGTAGGCTTTCTACGCCACGTCTCCAGATCAGAAGTCTATAAACTGTAGTCTTTTATACCATATGCTTTGTTTTAATAGTGTTGTTGTGAATGAAAAAAAATGAAAAAATAGAATACCCAAGAAGATAGATACCTAGATAGGTACCTGGGTAAGTTCGTTTGAATAAGAACAAGCTAAAGACCAACAATTGGGAACTGGCGCGTAATCGATGACGGCGTTTTTATTCATGTAGGACAATCCCACAGAGTCCAGACAATCTCAGCCCTTACTTGGCCAAACAAGGCAGGTCATGAATTATATATGCCTCGACTGTACCTAAGTACCTACTAAGGTCAGCAACTCTTGTTATAGCTATACCACAAGTAGGAATCGAGGGCGAGATATGCGGAGGTCGGGATTCTTTTACCATCAGTTCCTACGACAAGTTTCAAGGGTAATAATACTCGTATCCCCCCAGTCTTATCATTGACCATTCTTGAATTAGCCGCGTGTCTCTTGGGCGAGATTCGCTTAATATACTGTTGTGTTATAAATACTATATGATGAATCTAGACGATACATCTATAGGTATTGATAATATAGGGATGAATAGCCAGTGAGTGGAACTACTTAGTACTCTAATTAAAGTAGATGCGATATATTGCATAGGTACCTCTCAGGTGTCTCTTACTACACGCTGAAGGTGTGGTATAGGACCCCGCCGATGAATACATTTAGCCTACTATCTTTGCCAAAGCTCAGCAAAAGCATTACTAAATAAGTCTAAAGCCTCTCTTTCTACGCCATCGGCGCTGGCTATAACGATGTCGCTCAAGACGGTTTGCTATCACTGTAATCAGGGTTCCCAATGGAAGAGATTGAAGCCCCCGTATTGACGATAACAGGATCCCCAGTCGAGATGCTGAATGAACTAAGTTCGGTAACATGAGGCTGAAGATTCCCAATTGTAGGCGTACTGGTGCTCGGTAAGGAATATAATATGAGGCGCTGTCCATTATTCACGTTGACAGTTGGAAGTGACAGACTCGCCCCTATTCTTTTTACACACCAGAAATAGATTAGGTACCACTGGGAGACACCGCTGGACGACGCACCAAACTACCAAACTGCCTTTCTAGGTACTTATATGCCAAAGGTCACTTTACCAATGTCGTGAGAACTATGAGACGAGTTACCGTATTCGAAGGCAGCGAAGCCCCCCTCATTCAATGCGACTAAGTAGAAGGAATGCCTAAAATTGAACCGACGAAGCGCAATCGCGATTGGCCGGCTAAATTCAACATCTTCTCGGGCCATCATTATAAGCCGCAACCGAAAACGTTCTTACGGTGCGATGTTGAAGTAAATAGGAGGTAGTTGTCACTTATTCTTAAAAGGAGAGCTGCTAAGATACCTCCTACACTTGTTCAATCATCACATCTTGCCGCCTGGGAATACCATTCGCTACTATGCCGTTAGTTCGCAACCCGATCTTGCCTGGGTTTAATGCCGACCCGTCAATACTAAGGGTCGGTAGCGACTATTACATCGCTACGTCTACTTTCGAATGGTACCCCGGAGTGCAAATTCACCATTCTAAAGATCTCGCAAACTGGGAGCTGGTCACACGCCCCTTAAACCGGAAATCTCAGCTGGACATGCGTGGTGACCCTGATAGTTGCGGCGTGTGGGCACCCTGCCTTACCCATGACGGCGACAAATTTTGGCTTGTATATACGGATGTGAAGCGCAAAGATGGCTCCTTTAAAGACGCACATAACCATATCGTTAGCGCTCCATCAATAGAAGGACCCTGGTCCGACCCGGTTTACGTCAATTCGTCTGGTTTCGACCCCTCTCTCTTCCACGACGACGACGGTAAAAAATGGTTCGTGAACATGCTGCAAGACTATCGGCGCCGACCCCGTTCTTTTGCGGGAATCGTTCTGCAAGAATTCGATCCCGCAGCAGGCAAACTGGTTGGTCCGAAGAAAAACATATTCCGGGGCACGGAACTGGATTTCGTGGAGGGGCCACACCTTTATAAGAAGAATGGATGGTATTACCTTTTGACGGCCGAGGGTGGAACTTCTTATCACCATGCTTGCACGCTAGCACGTTCCCGCGATATATGGGGGCCATACGAGGTGCATCCGCAGAACCCTATTCTCAGCTCCAAGGATGCTCCGCTTGCTGCCTTGCAAAGAGCCGGTCATGGCGATATCGTGGAAACGCCCGAAGGGCGGACATACCTTGTACATCTGACAGGCCGGCCAACAACCCAGGAGCGCCGCTGTGTGCTCGGTCGCGAGACTGCCATTCAAGAAGCCTTTTGGAAGGACGATTGGCTATTTGTAAAGGATGGCCCCGTCCCTTCGCTTTACGTCGACGTCCCTGGAGTGCGTGATGATACCCAATACTGGGCGGAGCAAAGATATACTTTTGATAACGGACTGCATAATGACTTTCAATGGTTGAGAACACCCGAAACAGATCGCATCTTTGCTACGAAGGATGGCAAGCTTATCTTATTCGGTCGGGAGACCATTGGCTCCTGGTTTGAGCAGGCGTTGGTTGCGAGACGACAGACTCACTTCTCCTACGACGCCGAAACGACGATCGATTTCTCACCCACTGACGAGAGGCAGTTCGCAGGGCTTACCGCATACTACTGCCGCTACAACTTCTTCTATCTTACGGTGACGGCTCACTCCGACGGCCAGAGGGAACTGCTCATTTTAACATCGGAAGCCTCTTGGCCCGACGGCAAACTCAACATGCCCCTTGCGGACCCTGTGCAGATCCCCAACGAGGGAAAAGTAAAACTCGCGTTAACTATTCGCGGTGGCCAGTTGCAATTTTCCTACGCGTTGCAGGGCGACGAACTGAAGAAGATTGGGCCGATTTATGACGCGTCTATCCTTTCAGACGAATGTGGTGGACATCAGACCCACGGGAGCTTCACAGGGGCGTTTGTGGGAGTGGCGTGTTCCGATGTGAACGGGACCGCGTTACCGGCTACCTTCGATTACTTCGTCTATCGCCCTGTTAAACACGAGACTGATAGATACGATGTATAAGGTAGGTAGGTAGTTAGGTAACTTTACGATGCCATCATACATCTCGAATTTGACGAAGTAACTGTAAAGCTTGTAATATTTGGACCATTGCAAAGATACCAAAATAGACAAAGGTACACCTCATGCAGAAACCCCCTTGTAATAGATAACTCATCGTCGCGCATTTGATTGATGCATGTCTCGCAAAGCACATACTAGGTAGGTGGCTAAAGTACCTAGGTAGAATAATGTAAACTCAACTCTTGAAGCATAAAGCATTGTGAGCTCTAGGAGGCAGTTACTTAAGGTTAGGTACCTAGTCTGCCTCTGCCTAGTCGAAATTGAAGAGCAATATTTTCCTCGCAGTCAGGAGATTATGAGTAGCTTAAAAAACAATCGCCATCTTAAGTCACCTTAGCAATGTAGAAACAGATCCACGTTGATAACTACCTAGGTAGGTACCTACCTACTTCTTGAAGCTAGCTGTCTACACTTGATATGAACGGATGATGGAGGAAGCGTAGAATCTGGTTATAATACTCAAAGACTTAGGAATCAAGTAACAGCAGCTTTTAGAATGGCCTAGAATATAGGTAGAAGCTTGCCCTCGATCGAACACGGAAACAATATGTCTTAGGTATGCTCTTATCTTCTATACCAATAGGAGATATATCGAGTACCAAGTAATTCTTTGTCAAGCTTGATGCTATTATAACAGCAATCGACTCGGGAAGGCTCCAGGTAAGGGGTATGATCGAGTATTCGAATCTATACGGCTATGCTTTAAAAATCGCAACTGCCTAAGGTAGGCTAGAATTGAATAAAAAGTTCTCTTTGAAGTGATAAATATAAATATAAATATTACAATAGGCCATACCTATCTGATGCTAAGGACATATTCGCACTAAAAATTGATAGGTACAACAAATAAGCTCTATCACCAGATATGTCTCATAAGCGCAGCAGAGAAGAATCTCCGGACGGGACAATTGGGAGAAAGAAGACGAAACTTAATAACATCACCCGTCTAGTATTAGATCTCCATGACACAGATGATGGCTCAGCACAGATGACTTTGCATTTATTAGAGACCTCGGCGATGATGGATGGTTCCAAACCTAAGGTCTCTAAGGTTTTTAAGCCAAAAATGAGGACTCCTATTGGCGATGTTATGGAACATGTGGTGACAAAAGTAGAAAGGTCCGTATCTACCTAACCTGCTCATTCATTCACCACATTCTTCGGATAGGTTGAAGCGGACTGAATAGGCAGCAAGGGGAAATATGCTAAGTAGTCTAATATCCTTAGTTTACATCTAACGAAATCGAGATCCTCAGCGGGGATAGAAGTAACTTACACTGAGGTTCCCAAACTGCCCGAATACGTAGCCACCCACGGGTTAACGAGACAGGCCTGGGAAAAACTGGAAGGTAAAGGATTTCTACAGGACATACTATCTGACTTGAAGGTGCAGCTGCTTACTAGCCAGTAGCTTCCCGAAAGCGAGTGCCACGATTTCTCTTCAGATGTTTCGGCCGCTATTCTGGGGGTGACACTAAGTTGAATACCACAAGCGGGATTATCCCACGAGGATTTCTTAACGGCAGCAAACCAACTAATATGTATATGATCAAAGATCTCAAGAGGATGATCATCGATCACCTGAGCTTTTCAACTACTGAGACTCAATTCAGTTCATGGGCAGCCACCACACACTACGCCGGTATGTAATTTAACTACCTAAGAGGAGCCCCTGATGTCACCCCTTTTATTCACTATTTGCGCGATGAAACGTTTCTGGCCAAGTGGCCTCACACGGTTTTGCCGTTTGGACGCGTCGATTACCATCTCATATCATCAGCCAGCAGCGAAATAACACATATTGACATCGACTATTGCAGAAGCACACGCCAGTGATGCAACTTACATCGCAATCATTGATAGGACATTGCTAGCTCCACACGTCAAGATCTACCATTTCCCTGAGTTAAGAGAAGCCGGCCTTTGCGATGGACCCGATGGTAAGCCTGCCATAGTGGGGTGCAATGGCGAATACCTAGCATACGGCCCAATCGAGGGTTCTGCATTTCATTGTGTGAGCAATGATTATGATAAGTTCGCGCGCCTATACGAACCGCTTTTGCATGTGCACCCCACTAGCATTGTCTATAGAGCAAGACGGATAGCAGAAATCTTTCGTCTTGGTAACGATGACCGACCAGATATCGTTATAGCGCTCACAGTTCTCTTCTCGTGCTCACATTTTCGCAATTTTACGATGGAGCGAGCTAAGATATTAGACAAGAATCTATTCGTGGCGGTCGTCTCACTTATTCGCAGTGAGCTAAGAAGACTGAAACTGCCCCCTGCTGGCTCTAACGATCTTACTCCCATCAACCCTGAGATGTATATAGGGCCTGATATTTATGCAATGCATCTAGAGCAAACAGTCGTTCTGTGGAAGTGCATCGAAGAAAGACTTAGATTGGGCGATATATAGATCAAGCAGATAGCTATGCGCCAAGGGGACATGCCAATAGTGCCTTTGGTATAGGTACTAGAAGGAAACCTACGAATTTCTAGGATGAATTGATATCTGAGCTAAATAACTCCCCGCTGACTTTCAATCCATACCAAGTCTCAATTTAACACCAGGAAAGTGGCTGTAGATAGAATGAAGTCGCTAAGTGGAACTGTCTAATTGCTTCGCCTAAAGGAGTACAGTACCTTCAATACCTATTTTGATGTCATCTACCTTGGAAATTGATTTCTGAATATAGGGTAACTTAGGTACCTATTGATGTTATGAGATTGTGTGATTTGAAGCGGCAGGTATCTAAGTAAAAAAACAAGAGACGTTCTATAAAGCACTGCTAAGGTCGTACAAGATTACCCCTTAAAAATCGACAATGCCCTCTCCAGCTCGTGCTGCAAGTCCACGTCCCAGATCCAGCTCATGCGCGATTTGAGGTTCCTCTCAATAGCCTCAAGATCGTCGCCTTCGAGCTCGAACTCGTACAGCATGCCGGCCTCCCTGCTGGTCTTCACCAACTTGAGTGTTCTCGGCCGTCTCACCTCGTCGTACGCTTTGAACGCCTTGTCGAGATCTTGGGTGCTTTGCGCCGCTCCTATCAGATGGCCGAGGATATAGCAGTCCTCGATACACATGCCCGCACCTGCGCCCTGGTGGGGTGTGGTGCCGTGCGCGGCGTCGCCGAGGAGACACACTCGAGGGCTTAAGCCGTAGTAAGTCTCTGCGGGCGGATCGTTAAAGAGAGCCCACACATCCCTTTTCTCCATGGAGTTGATGATGGAATTCACCGCGGGGCCCCATGAAGTATAGTCGGCTAGCATTTCCTCCTTTGATGCTTTCACCACCCACTGCAGGTCGGTCCATGTGTCGCGAGAACTAAACGCCACAACTATGATATATAGTGGTTAGCTTAATATAAGAGGGTGATTACCTACTTTTGGAATACTAACCGTTCATTGTTTTGCCCTTCTCGATTGGGAAGGTGAGCAGATGGCGATGATATCCCATCCATAACTGGGGGTTTTCGGCCGTCTCAGCGCCTAGTAACTCTACGGCTCGTCCCATCGGTATTAACCCCCTATATGCGTATTTCCCAGAGAATACGGCCTTCGACTTTTCCCCAAGCAGAATTTCCCTAGTCTTCGACTTAATCCCGTCGCAACCGACGACGGCACTGTGCTGCGCCGTAGTTCCGTCGGCGAAGTGCAAAACGGCATCTTGCGACCCGTCCGTAGCGCTAGTGATGTCAACCAGCCTCTTGCCGAACTTCGAAACCGAGTCCGGTATCAGCGCGAGGAGCTCGTCCAAGAAGTGTGCCCGATGCACACCGCCAGCCAGTCTATCGTCGCCGTACTGAATCTCGAAAAGAGGGTCTCCAACTTTCAACCCCTCTTTTTCCTTCTGCTTCAGCACCCCGTCCGGACCGGCCTTCTTCTGGTCGCCAACCCTGATCGTGAACCAGTCCTGCCGCTTGCTTTCCCACCCCAGCGTGACGCGCCGTTTGAGCCCTTCGAGAAGCTCGGGTGAGATCAGCTCGACGGCCTTCACGGCATTAGGCCCGAAGCCTAACCCGGCGCCGATCTCCGTGAACTTCGGGGCGGATTCGTAAACTGTAAAGGGCACATTCTGCTTAAGAAGGGCGACTGCTAGTGTGAGCCCGCTTATGCCACCGCCGACGATTGCGATATCAAAATGTTTCGTAGCAGTCATCGTGTGAGGAAAACCGATGTGTTAAGATGTTGGAGCTTGCTGTTGCTGTTATGTGGGGTTTTTTGGGTAGACGAAAAGGACGACTCTCCAAGCAGCGACCAGGGTTCTTATACTAAAGCAGAACAGAGGTAGTATTGGGGAAATGTTAATGCGATGCCATCTTTACGCTTCCATCCACTCTCGGTGGTGGAGGATTCACACATGGAGCATGGAGCGCGTGAAGTTGGTACATCGGAAGCGCGATAGGGATTTGCAACATGAAGCCATGAAGCATAACGATAGCTTTCGGCGGGTAAAGAATAGTCCTGTGAATGTACTATGGCCGGTTAATCCCGTGTTGACTGCAACCCTGATCATCATGTCGTGAAAAAGGATTCTTTTCGATTGATAGAAGGTTTCCGATGATAACATCTACCTAGACCTTTTGCCGTTGACAAAAAGTTGAATATTTCCGTAGCTAGACTTCTTTATTTTTATTTTAGCAAGACCTTAGTAAAATCCAATGTCGTCAGCACTGAGAATCCCCGTCGGCGCTATCATGTTATTCTCGCCCAATCACTTATGAGGGTTTGCCTCTTCTCCGAAAGCCTGACGGGATTCGGGATACCGGGCTTAAACCCATCTTCCGTGTCGCTATGCCTTTATCGGTCTCGCACACCGTACCATGACCGCCGATGACAAGGAAATGGAGGCGCAAACATTATGTTATGATTGCACTAAGATTATGTCAAGGTATAAGGAATGCATCCTGTAGCCATTATAGGAGATGATTACTGAGCACCGATGTATCAAGCAGCTATTCCCACCATTCGTGCAGTCCTTGGAGCGCCACCTATGATCTCTTCGATGCGGTAAGCATGTAACTAGTCGTGGGCTTACTAAGGTATAGCAAAAGGGGTTGAAGGTCTATAGATATATCATGGTACTTTTTCTAGTCTATTCCTTAGCGCTCCATTTTCAACGCTCGTCACATTTCCGCCGGCGTTGATGTTAAAGATAAACTGGTCTAATGGTTTGGAGCCATACATGATCCCTGCGACGCTGACCCAAGTCGAGCAGTCCGTCGTGAAAGGTTTCGAAACGTTGGGCAAGCTAAGGTCCTCGAATACTGCCTTGAACGCAACTCTTTTCCCTCCGTCGGATGTCGCGTCCCACAGCCCAGTCGGATAGAGTCGGACGCTTGGGCGAACCTTTTCCCAATAATCTTTTGTTATGTTCTGGCCTATGGCTACCGAGTACCATAATAGGTTCGTCCCATTACTGATCCACGAGCTTAGACTCAGACCAGGAGTTCTGCTGTCAACCACTACATTTAAAGATGAATTTACCGCAGAGTCGGGGTGTTTATATGCTCCCCCATAGAGCTCATCCGCTTGAATCCGTGCCGTGTTCACCATGGTCGGGAGATAAGTATTCGACAATGTGTCTGCTATATCCATAGGTAAGCTAGGAGGAACATCGCCAGCGGCTAAGATGGAGAATCCGATATTGAAGTCCGGGATGACAGCTAGCAATGCGCTATATTTCCCTAAACTTCCAGCTTTATTGAATGTAGTAGCGAATTGATAAGGTGATTCTACAATAGAAGATATAATCAACGGACCATCCAGTTATTCAGAGTCCACGTTTAAGAGTAGGTTAGGTTGGGTTAGGTACCTTTAGAAAACGGAAGCTGGCGCACACCCCACGGCGCGCCTACGCCGGACCTTGGGTCTGAGCTAAAGGTCACCGGTTTGAGCCATCTTCTCGTCACAGCCGGAGGCATGAGAGTAGATCGTAGTATAGCTCGGCCGACTCGGGATAAATCCGAAGAAGACGTATACATATTGCCAGTCCTTCCCCTATCGTGTTACTTAAAGAGTCGCGGCGTGTAGAGGCGAGTATTTCAAAACTGTACTCACGGTGACTCGTTGCCCATGTCGAAGGCCCAATTTGTTAGGTAGCGACCTCCTGGTATAATGCCAACAGAATCCGCCGGCGTCGTGTAGAATGTACGATTTAAACCAAGCGGCTTAATGACCCTGTCCTGGACGATCGTGCCGAAGTATTTTCCCGTCATCTGTTGAAGAGCGTACCCGAGAAGAGTGTATCCGATATCCGAGTATGCTGGCGTGACGAATGGCGAAAATGAGGGGGGAAGTTTACTTAGACCTTCGAAAAATTCTGACGAGATATCTGTTAGTACTTTGAAGAAAGCACATAGTGATCATATATAAACCGCCCAAGCAAAACATACGCGTTCTATTACACACCGGTCTATTACCACACGGAGGTATATCCGCGTTTGCTATGCTGGGAAACCCAATTGAAGTGGCTTGCGTAGTGTTCGACCCTTGCGTAAGCTCACCCAGTAAAGCGTCTTCATCAGTTGTGTAAGTTGCTTCTCTATCGGATTTTCGGGGGCAACTGATAGCTTACAGTCTCTGACGAGGCCTGACATTTGAGTTGCCAGCGACCCGATGGTAATAGACTCCCAATCGGGTTTTGAAATGGAGTGAGAAGTATCGGCGTCGGTGACCATCGCCTTGATCTCGGGGATATACTTGGTGATGGGCTCATTCCACATAGTGTCGCCTACTTCGGCGAGGAACGTCAAGATAGTGAATATCTTAGTAACGCTCCCAAGTCTGTACACGGTGTCACCATCCACCTTTTTGACGCCTGTTGAGTTGAGAGTTTTCAAGTTAGTCGCAGTCCAATAATGCGACCACAGCGGCTCGTCGGCATCGGCGGAAAATACTTCGACTGAATAGGAGAACCGATCAGACCCTGTCGTGTTGGAATTATCAATGTATTGAGCAAACACAGAATCTAGAGCTTCTGCTGCGTTCTGGACTCCTGGTTGGGCAAGAAGGTTGGTAGGTTTTGGGTATCCTAAGCCATATAGGGGGCAATTCTCCTTAGCATGTACACCAAATATAGTAAACAATAATATGAACCCAAATGGCCACATTTTGACTCTCCTTGCGTCGTTAGTGGTAGAATCCAGCATACCATATAACAGCTACGTGTCAATTGTTCGCCGTGCTAGAGAGTAGAAAGGGTTAAAAGACGTGAGACTTTATCTGAAATGATTATCGTCTTTGCCGCATATGGGAACCGTAGGCAACCACTATCAGATGCAAACCATGGTCCAGGTAATTAACCGCCAAGCGAACGGTGACATCCCACTGGCGTTCCATTGTACACGCGTAGGAAGCCAGTATTGGTAACAGCTCGATCAGGTTCTCTCCGTAGTGTTAAAAGGATTAGCCGGGTTGCTTCCCATATATCCAAGGCGAAGGTCTGTATCTCATCTAATTACAGGGTTGTTTGTAGAAAATCATAGATAGCTGTTTTAAGAGTCTATAGAAGGGGTTAGATCTCGGATAAGGTTCTCCTAGTTCCCGGGATTGTGGTAGCTTTCGCGAATCCAGAGCAAGGGAATGGGTCATAACTATTGGCCATACACCCGGTAACATCCGGTGATGGCATAGGTATAGCAGATATCTGAGATCTGAGATCTGATACGGCTTTAAACCGTACCTAAATTAATATGGTGGACCGAGTATCCATATAGGGGACTGAGAAGCCAAAGTATATCGAGGGTCTAGACGAGTCACCATAGAATATGATATCCGTGATTCCCAGCCGGGGATGAGGGGCAGAGGGGTAATATTTCTCGTTTACATGATAGATGGAGACACGGTTGGAGATCCCCATGACGTATCATTCCAGGAATTTGGGGTTTGGGGGAAATTTAGGTTAATTGTTGATTAGTAAAATTGTGATTAAACATCATCACCGAAGCAACTTATGGGCGACGGCGATAATAATAGGGGATACGGTGCCTCAAAGTCGCAAATGCCCCGCGATTAGGACAGGACAACGCGCCATCTGCATTTTCATCTAACTTGGTTGCCTTTTTACGAGATACCTGCTCTACCAGCGTTAATAACTTCTTGCACAATGTTAATATCCGCTTTCCAATATGAGACGAGATATGACTTCATCGTGCCATCGACATGTAGTATTCAGGCTAGTTATCAAGATGACGGCAATACCTTGACACTCATACTCAGCAATATCGGTTTACTTGGTCTGGGTATGCCAGACGGCCTGTCAAGTCGGCCTCACTCTTGGTGTCCACTGGCGTAGAATTCATAAGTACGACGTGGGGGGTAATCAAACAGAGCACCAGCGGCTATTCAGAGTTATGTACGCACTAGCTTTACATTCTCTTCGATCTCCCTAACTCACAACCCAGCTCTCTCTTGCATGGCTGTCATTTAGTTAGATTTGATAACCAGCCAATTTAGTGGCCGTTCCTAAGCTAGCACCTGTCTAGATGCTATGTAAGTCAAACGAACCAAGCTTGGAACGAAACGCAGAAAGCCCGAAAAAGTGGAAGTAGTGAGGGATATTGGGAATAAACGCTTCTCTGAAGAGTAGAATAGAGTCACAGCCTAGCGATGGTAGGGACATTTGACCTGAGCGACGTATAGATCGATCGAAAGGGTCAAGTTTTCAGTCGTCCTAGGCCAGTGTTTTCCTCGAATTTAGGCCAATTCCGCTCGATGCAACGCTCGCCGAGAAATTGAGGTATATTGATTGGTTTGGTTTGACGCTCTTCATTATTGGAATCACAATTTTCGTTATGATGGTTAACTGGACAGACTCTCGTTCCAATGCTCTTGATTGGGAGTGCGATGCCTTTCGTCAACGAGGAACTGGAAAAAAAAAGGGAAAAGAAATCCGTGGCAAGGAATAAATTCTTTTACGAATTCCAAACAAATTACGAATGTAATAAACATTCATGATCCTTGCAAACCCCATATTGAAGCCCACCTTTTGTAACCAAATTGGTCGACATGCTTTAATATTCGATCTCAACAACCCCCTAACCTACCCTGATGCATATCGTGGCTATGAATAAAGGAAGCTATTTTTAACGTTCCTAATTCCCATCATGTATGGTTTATCACGGTGATACACTAGAATAGTTCACGCGCTGCAAGAACTATCACACATGTGGAGATTAGAGGTAGCCGCTAGAAATAATAACCAGGTTACGAGGTAAGTGTCCATCCAGCCATCTCGATGTCGTCGTTTCATAGAAACTCGTGCCGGGAACGAAAGTGGATTTGCGTCATATAGCACGGTTCACGAAAAGGACCTAGCGAGTCAAAGGCAATCTTGTCACCGGAGTCGACGGAGGTACAGCTAGTTCAGTTGATACCCGTCAGGGGCACTGGCAGATGGGTAAGATCCATGCTCCCTGCTTCCAAAACTAAGAAGCACCGATTTGGTTAGGTACCGATTCTTACTATGTATCCGCGATGCTACATATCACAAGTACCGAAAATTTTTTTTTTTCTCTTTTTTTTTTTTTTTCATAAATCTCATATGAGGTATAATAATAAAACACTCCAGACGCCGTTTACTTTAATGCTTATGCTATCCCGAGCTCATCCCAAACTTTCTCAATATTATATGCATAGTACCTTAGGTATATACCGCCTTCCCCAGTGTTTCCCACGATTTATATCATACCCCCTACCATCTATGTGGTGGTTTTTCGGCGTTAGGCGACCTCGTAGAAGCCGATAGAGGCTTCTGGCAGTAGATTGTCATCCTAGATCTTGTTAATAGTCATTCATATAGCGTTACAACCCAACTTACAGAGTAGAGAACGAGTGGATGCGCGTGTTGTCGATGTCCTTGCGCGCTTCGGCTAATAGCTTGTCTACCGCCTGGTCAGACCACCCCAGACCTTGTGTCAGCACACTACGGGAGTATATATCGATGACCTCCAGCGTATTAGTCCTCTGCCGCGCGCCGATCCTCTGATACTGTCTTCCGGGTGCCCAAGTATTAGTAGGCACGGCGTATTTTAGTTCGACCACGTTTTGGAACCCCGTCTGCTCTAGCAGAGCTTTATAATCGAGGATGTAGAACAGGGATCTCCCTAGCTTTTGAAGACCTATTTCCAGAAGTTAGTTCTATGGTCCTCGGCAAAAAAAGACCAAGATGACTCCGAAGCAACCTCCCTTCAGCTAAAAATTGGTTCCATCTTTGAAAAGCGGTGCCTTCCAAGGACCTGTCTGAGGACTGAACATGCAGAAGCCACTCCTGGAACTCGACCCAGCCCCCCGGTGCGAGATTGTCATAGATGGACTTGAACAGCCGACGTTTATCGGTGGGCTCACCCAGGCTTCGCACATGAATCAGATCGAACGGGCTGCCAAGCTTCCACTCTTCATCAGCATCCGCTATGATGAAGTGACAGTTGTGTATAGTGGAAGGCGGGTCCGGCACTGGATTCAAGTCTGTTCCAAGCACGTAACAGTCTGGATGCCTCTTTGCTGCATGCGTATTAGCGTTCGTATGGGGATAGCGCGTAAGTACTGCTGGCGCGTAAGGGGAGGATATACCGAACTCCACCGCCCATATTCCTGTCCCAGTACCGACGTCAAGTACCCTCTTGGGATTTTCTACTGGACAGATATGCAATGCACCATCATGCACGTCAATACTAATCTCGTGTTGAAGGTCTGTTCGGTATCATCAGATCAGCTAAGTTCAACTCTATGAAGTGGCGGGGTAGCATCTTACTATTCCTCTCTTGCTCTTGCTAGACGTTTTCCCCCATTTTAGCACAAAAAAACGCATGTACAAGATGGCATCTACTTAGTTATGCATACCTTATCGTGAGGCAGGAAGTAATCTTCACATTGGGTATTAGTGCTAGAGCTCACTGGGACGTTGAGAATCACGGCGGAGACGTACTCCTGTTAAACGCGCGGCCAAATTTATAAACTATGGACCGGAAGAGCCTCGAAGAGCTGGAACCGGCTGTTGACTTGGGAAAAGTTCTGAAAGAGCAAATGACTCTACCGTTAGTTTCTTCCGGATAGGTACTGGGGCCGGACGAAGGTGAATATGATGATGGGATTAGCTTACTTCTTAGCAGTCGGGCGGTAGTCGTGGTTCTCAGCAATGTCATCCTCCTTATCTACACTGGTGCTTAGAGTACTTCCGAGATCGAAGTTAGATGATACATATTGGAAAGGATCGGCGGTCTCGGCTGGCAAAGACGAGGATGATGATGACGGACCAGTAGTTGTCGCGGTCGATTTCAAAGTAGAGGTCGAAGCTTTCGTCGACGGACTAGTAGGGTAGACGTGAGAATGGTCCCAAGTGAGGGTATTATTGGTGTTGTTAGTGTACTCTCGAGGACGAGGGTCGTGTGGAACCGTTAAAGGGAGAGTTGGGGGTGTCCTAGTCAATAACTCATTCCTTCCATGGCCTTTTGGCGTATCTATAAGATCGGTAGTTTCCATTCGAGCGGTTCACGCCTTTCGTCTTTTTTTCTGATGGGCTAGTGCTGATAAATTGGGGGCCAAAGCACGACAACTCGGCTTCGGGCCGCTCCCGTATATTTATCAAGACAGACTCAGCTCAGTTTATATTATTTTAGCTGGACATATTCTTGTGGTACCTTTAAGTGAGGGTTCGATATGACATATGTATATTGACCTTATAGCGCTCGCCGAAGCGTATAATGTGCTTGCTCTACGGGTAAGGAGGGAAAGGGGAATGTGACGAGAACTAATGCGGCCATTATGCGCAAGAGTTTCACAATCGTATTTATTAGTATGGTCGCTCTAATTTACTTTTCCCTTATTCTTTCTTTTCCTATTCGACCCACGTAAATTTTCCTACAGGTCAGTCCTACTTGTAATTCTTGACGTAGTGGGTTTATGTGATATCTGGACGTCCCCAGTGCATAGAGCATCGGCCGGTCGAATCAGCTTGGCGACAGCGAAGCTAGTTATCCCTCGCAGCCCTCATTTATAAAAAATTCAATACTCCTCACTGCTTACCAACTAACGTGCAGACGTGGTAGGCTTTAAAAATGGTGTACAAAAACCCACGTACCAACAAACGGGGGAAAGACTTGTATTATTGCTCCACTCTCTATTATGAGAATGGCTACGTGGGGGGTAGGGTCGTATTATTGGTATTATTGGTTAGCAAGAGAGCCAGTATCACGGCACAACGTCACTCGTTTTTTTTTTTTTTTCTTCTTTTCTTGGCTTCATCGTCGTTGTTGTTGTTGCTGTTGTTGTTATTGTTTAATGTTTGCTAAATCCTAGCCATGCAGCCACTCTATATAGCAGCGACTGACAACATCCGATGTTTTACAAGATACCTAATCAGCGTCCTTATGTTTAGCTCTGCAAATTCCGAAAAAGCTCGTCCGCGAACTCCATCACACTTGGGAAACAAGCCTTCGGGACAAGGGTCCATACCTCTATCACATTACAACTTGACGAATCATATTCCATTGTCGATGTCGTCGCCTCCTTACTTTGAGGCTATCCATTTGGATTGATACGCAATCTGAACTCGCAGTAGAAACTGGTAACATAGGTAACTTGCGGTGAATAGTATCTTGTGACCATGGCCCGAGGTAGTAATATAGGTCCTCAATTTCACTTCGGATGTTTTTTTTTCTTTTTTTTTCTTTTTTTTGGCTACGACTCCATGATACAATGCAATATAGCAAAGTCGTAAGATAGTCTATAAAGACAGATCCTTTCGTTTGGTCCAATAAAATATGATACAACTTCCATTAATGATTATTATGTGCCTCTTTCCCCTCCCTCTTCATCTAGTCAGAGAACAAAATCCAACAAAATGTAATCCGCCGAGGAGATTCTCGCCCAGCAAATTCGATCTATTGAGCATATACATATTATATCAGCCGTACGATCTTCATTGTGCACTAACAATCTTATAGAAGTACCCAAAGCGCATGCGTGTCATCATGCACGCACGGCCCAAGAAGGAAACTTAGCCAGATACGGCGATATCGCGATCGTGTCGACCTATTAAGAATCATCCCGGAACGAAACCGCTTATAACAACAGCAGGACCGCAGGGCCCCTGCATGCTTGCATGCTTGCATAGTGTCTCTGGGGAAACCGGAGACGAGTTAGTCTCTGGACTAAGGTCCCAGCGGGCCGGTACATGCGCCTTGAACGTGCACCATGCCGCTCTATAGTTACACCACAAGCCGCCCTTGCATGCTAACGGGACAGTGTTACCTGCCGAGGCAGACCAAGTACATATACTAACAAGGCACCGTGAAATCATACAGCTGTGGAGCGCACCGAGAACCTAGCTATCCCGTTATATAACAAGCAACGGTATGCCTATAGACCGTGAGGCTAACGTCCCGGTTTGCATTAGTAGTAGGACAACACAGCACGAACGAGGGATGGACTCCGGATGTAACATAGCCTAACCTAGGTAGCTAGATAAGAGAATGAAGCGGTTTGTCGTCTGAGCGGATGGCCCGAGAAACACGTCCCCTAGCGGTATGACAAATTCGGCGTCCTGTAGAGGCCGATATCTAACATGTTGGTTCACGATCACCGAGCCATACTCAACAGAGGCTACGGTCAGAGATGTCGTCTGAAATCTTGCTTATGCACTGAAGTGGCGTGAGCACCATGGGCAGTCATAAGAACTCCCAAGTCGCCTGAGATTCTAGTCGAGTTGATATTGAGCATTAATATTGATCATTCGTCACTTTGTCTTCTACTACACAGCTCTTCTAGTTTGCTACTATCTTTTTTAATCATCATGAATCAAACTACTAACGGCTTCCCTGAGTCGTGCTCCTCGACATCCTCCAACTTCACAGAGCTCAAAGACACGGCAATGCCGTCACCAGTTCCGATTGCCATCTGCGGAATCGGCTTGAGGCTTTCCGGTGGCATTCGAAACACTGATGACTTCTGGGATCTCCTTGTCAACGGCCGGGATGCTCGGGCGCCCGTCCCAAAAAGTCGGTACAATGCTCAGGGGTTCGATGGGTCCCTTGGAGGCAAAGAACGTATCGAGACTCAGTTCGGGTACTTTCTAGAGGATGATCTATCTCAGTTCGACCCCTCGCTCTTTTCCATGACCCAACTGGAGTTGGAGAGGTGTGATCCCCAACAGAGATTGTTGTTACAAGTTGCTCGTGAGTGCCTCGAAGATGCTGGTGAAGTTAACTATCGCGGCAAGCCAATCGGCTGCTACGTGGGCACATTCGGCGACGAATGGCAACACAAGCAGAACAAAGACAGCCAGCAAGTCGGTAGCCATCTTGTTACGGGAGCTGGAGACTGGATGCTTGCCAATCGTGTATCCTACGAGTATGACCTCTGCGGACCAAGGTAAGCTGTTTACATCATCACACTTAACAACCCCTGAAAATCGGCTAACAACGATGTTTTCTTGGGCAACTATAGTATGGTAATCAGGACAGCCTGTTCCGCGTCTTTGATAGCTCTGAATGAGGCTTGTAGGGCAGTCCAATTCGGTGATGCTTCTGCTGCCATAGTTGCTGGGTCAAACCTGATTCTCGGGCCCTCCATCAGCATATCAATGACTTCAGAGGGTGTCTTGTCCCCAGATGGGTCATGTAAAAGTTTTGATGCGGCGGCAAACGGCTATGCTCGAGCCGAAGGGATTACTGCCATCTACGTCAAGCGCCTTACAGACGCTATCCGTGACAGCAACCCTATCAGAGCTGTCATTCGAGGTACCGCAGCTAACAGCGACGGTAAAAGCCAAGGGATGCTTGTACCTAGCGTAGAAGCCCTCGAATCCCTTATGAGAAAGGTTTATTCTGATTCGGGATTGAATCCAGCCGAAACCGCCTTCGTCGAGGTACGTCGTAATTTTCCCCTTTCCCCTGTTCGTCTCCCATATATTAGTAACTTGTTGTAAAGCTAAAATGTGTAATCTCTTCAGTGCCACGGTACAGGAACTGCGGTTGGTGATCCAAGTACGTAAGAAAATCCATCCTTCTTCCCTAGTGACCCCTTTATTTTTGGCATTGGTACTCCCTGCTAAGCTTAACCAAGAGCTACTATTCTGTATATCTGTTTAAGTTAAATGTTATAGACACTTTTCAATATAAGCAATTGCTAACATTAGTGGTTACCTTAGTCGAAACTTCCGCTGTTGGTGAGGTTTTTGGTGACAACGGGGTGTATATTGGCTCTGTGAAGCCAAATATCGGCCACTGTGAGGGATCAGCCGGCCTTGCCAGTTTAATCAAAGCGGTCTTAGCATTGCAGCATAAAACTATACCTCCTAATATCAAATTCGACACTCCCAATGCTAAGAGTAAGCACTTCGCCTATAACTTAGAATTATATATATAAGCTAATCGATCAATCTGCAGTTCCATTCGCAGAAAAGAGGCTTAAGGTGCCAACAGCGCCGACTCCCTTCCCAGCTAATAAAGCTGAGCGAATCAGTATAAATTCGTTTGGAATTGGTGGCTCAAACGCACATGTGAATAACCTCATCTTTACCCCTATTACATTATGTAATTGTACCAGCTAACACTGCCGAAGATAATCGTTGACTCATTTCCTAATCCTGACGAAATAAGTCCTCTTGAGAGGGCGAAGAGACCCGAACTCCTTATATTCTCAGCTAATACACAGAACTCATTGAAGCAACAAGTAGAAAAATATGAGAAGTATATTTCCTTACGTACCTCTAATGTATATAATGTAGCATATACGTTAGCCCTCCGAAGAGAACGGCTACCGCATAGGGCATTCATGATCAAGTACAACGACCAGATCGTAGATGTCTCCGGGTTAGCGAGGATACCGGGGAAGTCATCCAGCCGTAAAGTCACCATGATTTTCACCGGGCAAGGTAGCCAATGGGCTGAGATGGGAAAGGGGTTGTTCCTGACGAATCGAGAATTCCGTGAGGACATTAATCTTATGGACGACATCCTGAGACATGCCGTACAGCCTCCAAATTGGACAATCGAATGTGAGTTTATCTTTTAAGAGCTACCTCTTTGATACGGACGCTGACATATGCTACGTCGCAGCTGAAATGCTTAAATCAAGCGAAAACAGCCGTATCAACGAAGCTGAGCTGTCGCAACCGCTATGTACAGCACTGCAGATTGCGATCTATCGCCGGTTTGAGCGCTGTGGAGTTGTGCCATCGTCAGTCATAGGCCATTCAAGCGGCGAGATCGCTGCGGCGTACGTTGCCGGCCATATATCGCTCGAGTTCGCTCTCAAAGCGGCATACTACCGCGGACTTGTCTCTTCAACCAGCACATCCAAGAACGGGTCAATGGCCGCCATCGGACTCGGGGCTAGGGAGCTAGCACCTTTACTACCTAAGGGTGTTGTGGTCGCCTGCGAAAACAGTCCCAAGAGCTCAACTATATCAGGAGATTGTGAACTATTGAAACGCGCTATATCCAACATAATAGAATCAAAGCCGGACGCTTTCGCACGGCCATTGAAAGTCGATATGGCGTACCATTCCCGTAAGTAATGGCTAACCCCCCTCACCCCCTACCCTTATTCATATCTCCTGGCTAATGGGGAATCCGTTAGACCACATGGGTCCATTAGCAAAGCAGTATCTCCAGCTATTACAATCAGAAAAGGTCTCAATTAATGGCAACCAAACACATCCATCCAAAGTCGTATTCATGTCAAGCGTTACTGCCAAGGTAATAGACACGCCAGCTGAATTGGGTCCCGAGTATTGGGTTTCCAACCTCGTCTCGCCCGTGCGTTTCAGCACGGCAGTGCAAAACCTCATACAGCTACAAGGTGACTCGGACATCCTACTGGAAATTGGCCCTCACGGCGCGCTGGCCGGACCCCTACGTCAGATCTGCGCCGAAGGCTCGTGGCAGTTCAACTATGTCGCCTCCCAAAAGCGAGGCTGCGACAGCGCGGTGTCTCTGCTTGCTGCTCTGGGCAGGCTCTTCCAAGAAAACGTCAACATCGATTTCAGCGCCCTTTTCCCTGGTGGGCGGGTCGTCCCGGGACTGCCTTCCTACGCGTGGGATCATAGCGGACAGACGTTTTGGAACGAGACTCGGCTGGCGACCGCGTGGCGGCAGAGGAAGTACCCCCATCATTGTACCCTTGGTGTTAAGACGACCGAGTCGACAGATGCCGAGCCGATATGGAGAAACGTTCTCCATCTTGACGATGCGTCCTGGTTGGCTGATCATAAGGTCGGTCGGGATGTCGTATTTCCCTTCGCCGGCTACTGTGCTATGGCCGGCGAAGCAATCCGCCAGGCGACCGGCGCCGACATTGGATCGGGATACCATCTCCGCCATGTGGTTGCTCATACGGGGCTTGTTCTGAGCGACTCAAAGCCAGTCGAGATTATCACCTCGCTACGTCGAAAACGTCTCACTGACTCGGATGAATCCCAATGGTATGAATTTAACATCTCATCTCATAGCGGTTCCGTGTGGATCAAGCACTCTACAGGAGATGTTCGGCATATCGAAGGACCTCCCGAAGCGGCAACTTGGACTCTGGAGGACTTGCCTCGTAAGTTGCCCAGCTCGTCGTTCTACGCAGCCATGCAACGTATTGGAATCAACTACGGTCCCGAGTTCACCGCTCTCGCGGATATCGCTACCTCCACCGTCGAGCATACTGCTCAGGCCAAGATTATTGACAAGTATAACCATGTGTCCGCACCATTCACTCTCCATCCTGTGGTAATCGACGGGTGCCTGCAGTCGCTCCTGGTTGCCATGAGGAAGGGCCTTTGCCGCAACTTCGACGGCCTATTCGTCCCTGTTTCTGTTGACGAGCTCGTCGTACACCGGGGGGCATCGGAGATCCACGTTCGCGCCTGGACGGAGAAAGGCGATCTAAGGCTTGGCCAGGCCGAGTGTATCGCCGACGGGAGACTAGCACTGCGGATGCGCGGCCTCAAGCTGGCACCTCTCGAGGATGACAACCCCGTTGCTAGTTCTATCGACCAACATGCCGCAGCACGTATCTGCTGGCTTCCCGACTTCGACTTCGCAGACCACAAGGAGTTATTCACGGCACCAAAGCCCGACCGGAATCAGCTTGTGCTGCAGCAGGAACTCTCGTTCCTTTGCATGGTCCAAGAGGTGAAAGCGATCGAAAATCTCGAGCCGTGCCAACCTCACTTCGCCAAACTCCGCGATTGGATGAAGAAAGCGATCGAGGGCGCAGTTTCGGGAGGAGAAGAAAAGTTCCCTCTGGTCGACGATGCGGCGCGCCTGCTAGAGCTGAGCGCCGAAGAGCAGCAGAACATGATCAACTCCCATCTCAGCATCTTGGGGAAAGGAGACCACCGCGCGCTTTCCGTCGGAACTAAGCGGGTATGCGACCATGCAGTCGAGATATTCACGGGAGCACGGGAGACCCTCGACATACTGATCGAGGGAAACCTCCTGTCGGAGATCTACAACCGCGCTAGCTTCGGATACGGCAACTTCGTGCGCCTCCTCGGAGGCACGCGGCCAAATCTGCGGATCCTGGAAGTCGGCGCCGGTACGGGCGGGACTACAGAGCTTGTCCTGCGCGACCTCGTCGACGAAGGCGGGTTCCCTTCTTACTCGGTCTACACGTTTACGGACGTCTCGTCCGGTTTCTTGGTGAAGGCAAGAGAACGCTTCTCCTACGCGCCGAACATGGAATATAAAGTATTCGACATCAGTAGGCCCCCTCTCGAGCAGGGATTCGAGGGCGGAGAAAAGGGGTCGTACGACCTCATCCTGGCTGCCAATGTCGTTCACGCGACGCCGGTAATTCAGGAGTCGCTTAGGAACATAAAGTCGCTATTAAAGCCCGACGGGATGCTAGTCCTAGCAGAACTTTTGCCCTCGCTACGCACGGCGAATTACGCGTTCGGGCACTTCGCAGGATGGTGGCTAGGCGAGGCTGACGGCAGACCTACAACTCCTCTGGTACCCGTTGAACGCTGGGACGAGGAACTGAGGGCTGCAGGCTTTACGGGCGTGGACTCGGTCGTCTTCGACGACGAAAAGCCCTATAGCCAAATCCTCACAATCGTATCGCGGCCACAGACTAGACGCGCGCCGCCCGCTAAGAAAGTCACTTTACTATGCGACGAGGAGAATTCGGGAGTAGCCCGCGCTCTGGTCGCTTCTCTGCAGAGCTCAGGGTGGGAGGTAACGCCGAGCCGACTAAGCCCAGGACCACTGCCAGACGAAGATGTCATATCGTGCCTGAACCTCGAGAGCGACTGGTTCGTCAACTTGACTCCCGAAAAGTTCGCCGAGTTCCAGGCATACGCGAGAGTCCTGGAGAACCGAAAGGTCCTCTGGCTCACACCACCCGTCCAGATCCGATGCAAGGACCCGCGACCGGCAACATTCATCGGCGTAGCTCGCACCCTACGAGCCGAGCGCGTGCCGGGGCTCAGCACGCTCGAGATCGAGCCCACGGAACCGCGGTTCGCAGACATGGTGCTAGACGTATTCGACAAGATCCGCACGCAAGAGGACGCGGGCACGCTGGGCCCGGACCGAGAATTCGTCGTCGAGAACTCCCAGATCTGCATCCCCAGGTACCGCCCTTTCTCCTTGCTCAACAAGCTGAAGGAGAAGGAAGAAAGCCGCGGCCGCGAGGAGGACGGATCGCAAGCCTCGAATACGAGGACTGCTGTGGCTATTGCAAAGATAGGGTCTATGGAGACCCTGCACTGGATCGACGAGCCGCTGCCGGCAGAGCTGCCGGACGACTACGTCGAGATCGAGACGCGAGCCGTCGGCCTCAACTTCCGCGACGTCGTGCTGGCAAGAGGCATAATCGACTCCCCCACGCCAGGACGCCTCCCGCTCGGGTACGAGCTCTCGGGCGTTATCAGCAAAGTAGGCTCGGCCGTGAAAGACCTGTCTCCCGGCGATAGGATCGTGGCCCTTTGCAACGGCAGTCTTGGCACGAGGAACGTAGCGCCGGCCGATATCGTCGTAAAGATCCCCGATGGTCTCGCTTTCGAGGACGCTGCCTCTATTCCCGTGTGCTTCGGCACGGTGATCTACAGTTTGATCAACATAGGACGCCTGGAAAGAGGCCAGAGTGTTCTGATCCACTCGGCCTGCGGAGGTGTCGGTCTCTCGGCGATCCAGGTGGCCAAGATGCTTGGGGCTGAGATATATGCAACCGTCGGCAGCGAGAAGAAGGTGCAGCACCTCATGGATAACTTTGGGATCCCGCGATCGCATATATTCAATTCTCGAGACGCATCGTTTGCGGAGGGTGTGATGAAGGAGACAGGGGGCCGAGGCGTCGACTTTGTCCTGAACTCGCTATCTGGTGAACTGCTTCACGAATCGTGGCGGTGCGTTGCCAAGTTCGGCGTTATGGTCGACCTTAGCTTGCGAGACTCCAAGGGTTCTGGTCGTCTGGATATGTTCCCTTTTGCTGAGAACCGGTCTTACTACGGCGTGAACCTGTCCGACTTTAGGGAGAAGCCTAACTGGCTAAGAAGGTAAGTTTTTCTTGAATAGGGGGGGAGGGGCTATTCCCTAAACCAGTAGCTACCGTACTTACAAACAACCTTTAGGTTATTAACCTCGTTCATCGATTTTTACGAGCAAGGCCACCTCCGACCAATCGACCCCATTGCGAGCTTTGACGCGAAACAGATCGCGAAAGCATTCCGCTACCTCGAGGATGGTGACCATTTGGGCAAGATCGTAGTGACCTTCCCTCCACCCGAGTTAAGCACACCAATCGAATCTCTGCCTCAACGTCGTAATATTCAATTCGATCCTACTGCTACCTACCTCCTCGTAGGCGGTGTCGGCGGCCTGGGTAGATCTATTGCAGTCTGGATGGTGGAACGAGGCGCACGAAACCTGATGTTTCTTTCGCGCAGCGCAGGTCGAAGCGACGTCAGCCAGGCCCTATTCCGAGAGATAGAATCTATGGGATGCTCGGTGACAGCAGTGGCCGGGCGCGTTGATCGGATTGAAGACGTAGAAGAAGCGATCCGCCAAGCAAAGTCTCCTATTAAAGGAGTGCTACAGTTAGCCATGGTCCTAAGGGTAAGAGCCACTTCGTAATATCGGGATAAGCTCCTAATGACTAACTGAGATATACCAGGACGTCCCAGTAGTAGACATGGAATGGTCTCAATGGAAAGAAGCCCTTGCTCCTAAGGTGGAAGGCACTTGGAATTTGCACCGGGCATTCCAGTCGACTAACCTAGATTTCTTCTTCTTAGCCAGCTCAGTCTTGGCTATAGTAGACTCCCTCGGACAAGGAAACTACGCGGCTGCTAATACATTTATGGAGGCGTTCTGTCGTTACCGTCACTCTCTCGGACTACCAGCTTCGGTTCTGAACATCACAGCTATAGGCGATATTGGATTTGTGGCCGAGAATTCCCACGCGATGCAAAACATCAAAGCCCAAGGTATATGTCTGCTTGGCGAGCGCGAATTCCTGGACTTCCTAGAGCTCAGCCTTATGAATAACTCCCCGATAAGTACTACAAGTCAAGACGCTGCCGGGCCACTCGCTGCTCCACCAATGCCGTGGAGTAGCGACGCTCAGATGGTGATGGGTATACGGTCGGACCAAGACTTGGACGACCCGAACAGCCGAACAATGTGGCGGCGCGACAGGCGCCTGGGCATCTACCACAACGTACGGTTTGAAAACGCAGCGAAGAGCAGCGAGAACGATGTTCTACAGAAATTCCTCCGACAAGTTGCGACTGCCGGCGACGGGGGGAAAGCGCTGCTAAAAGCGAAGAGCAGCATCGAATTCTTAGCAAACGAGATCGGCAAGAAGATCTACGACTTCCTCCTCCGGCCGGACGAGGAAGTAGATATAGATCTGACACTCGCACAGATGGGTCTCGACTCGCTCATGGCTATCGAGCTGAGAAGGTGGTTCAAGGGCGCATTCGGGCTGACGCTGAGCGTCCTGGAGATAGTCGGGAGCGGAACGCTTCATCAGCTCGCAGAACTTGCTGCAGCAAAACTGCTCGAGAAGGTTGAAAGCGAGTCTCGGAAACTCGCATAGAGATGTACCTGTTTCCGGGATTACCCCTATCATCGAAAAGGAGGGTTCCTATCGTAATCGTAATACTTTGAGCTTAGAATGACACAAACTGAACAGGTCACAGCTTTATTAATGTTAGTTGCCTAGGTTAGGTACCTAGATAGTATGATTGCTAAATAAATTTGAGTATCTTGTCATTGTATTAAGGGGCGATAGGTATTGAACTTAGGTATACATAGCTGCGTTTGCTTCATTTTATCAAGTAGAACCGGCTGGGTACACAAAGTAAACCCATTTTAAATACAGCCATTATTAGGTACTTTCAAACTCCTCCATATCGATCTGTCCAGACTCAGGTAGAGTACGTAACCTAATATCAGCTTTCCGCTTGACAACGAGCAAGCATCATCGACATCAACGATACTCCATCCAAGCGCCAAGCAATCCAGCGGCCATAAAACCAACGAATACCTTGGCCTGGGGAAACCCCGGGCCCCCAAACTCGGGATCGACAGCCATGGTACCGGGGAAAAGGATGCTGAGGAGTCCCGCGATCCAGTAGATAGACCCCATAACTGCACTCGCGATCATAAACTCGCGATGTAGCTCGAGCGTCTTCGCCCGGCGCCACGTGTAATAGAGCGTCAACCCGGACAGGATTATGGCGAGGGAGATGGTCTGGGCGTTGTGGAATCTGGTTGTAGTAGGTAGGTTAGGTACTTGAGGTTAGACAGATACATACAATGAATGCATAGCGGCGTTCCTTGGTAGGAGGTAGGTAGGTAAACTTGGGGACTTACTTAGCATGCGGTCGCCACCGCGGATTGAACAAGTGTGTCTCATTGAAACAATCAGCTATGATGGCGCCAAAGCACAGGCCGAGCGCATCCAACGTGAGCAGTAACCGGCCTAACATTTTTTATATCGTAGGTAATACAAGATAGGTAGAACGAGAACGAGAACAAGAGTCGAAAGGGAAAGGGAAAGGGGAAAGGGGAAACAGGATTTAGCAGGATCCGACTTATGAAAGATGCCCTTCAGCTCAAGGACAAGAAATATAACGATGCTTGTAATACCATCACACCGCAGGTAATATATGTTCGATATGTCGGCTTATATACATGATTCTCGTAAATTTTTTTTAAATACCTGATTTATAAGTTACCTCACACTGATATCTTATTACGGTGTATAACGGCGCGTCTAAACATCATGCATCATGCATCATCGCTAGCTCGATCCTCGTCTCCGAATGCCCAACGTCATTATTTTACCTATCAACTCCACCGGCGTACGGACTTAACAGAAGCAACCCTAATAAAAAGCACCGAAGCGGCGAAGGGGAGCGAAGCTAAAGTTCTAGTTCGAGAACGGCATTGCTGACCTAAACACCAACCTCTCCACAACGACGCCTAGGTCTAACAAATGTGGGGCCAAGCCCTGAGATCCCAAGTAATAAACGGTGCTTACATAACACTGCTTACTTATACCCAAGCTCATCTCGGTGCTTCGGTGTTACACGATTCGGTGTTGCACTTCAAAATACGAGAGAAGCTTTACGTTTCGCCCCTTTCCTATAAATCACAAGTCACATTCTAGATACCTACCTAGGTAGGTATTATACCAGTCATAGTTTAAGACACGGTCGACTTTAAATATAATGATCGTAGTAACAAGCAATGTCAAGAAATGCAACGAGGTTTTCTCTTCTCGGCCTGATAATAAGTAATAGGCCCTCTTAAATACTCATACCTAACGTCTATTGCTAGGTGCTAAGTGCTAAGTGCAAAATGTGATAAAGTGAATCTTCCTAATGAATCCTCATGAATTATAGCCATGCCTAGCAACCAGCCAAAACCTCAAGCCAGACCCGAAACACCCCTGAGTCCAATGCGTGTGAGATGCGAAGAATATATACTAATACAACATCTTGTCTTCGTATGCTACCCGCTTCCCCCCTCAACACCAAGTCGAGATCTGATCTAACCTAAAAAGCGCTCCTAATGGCCGTTCGGTACCTCGTCATCTTTCCCAGCCGCCACAACTGAATACTGGCCACCGGCACCAGCCCACACAATTCGTCTATCGCGAATCGCACTGTTGTCGATCAAGGTCGGGACTTCAACGTCATCCGTCGAGCCTTGGCCAGTCTGGTAATTTGCCGAGAAACCCCATGAGTAAACCTTGCCTTCATTGTTGATGACGAAGCTGGTGTCTGATCCAGTGGCAATAAAAGTAGCATTTATTCCTGCAATGCTCGTTAGATCATGTATAATATCAAAGACGCGGGGGGAAGAGAACATACCATCAATAGCAGTAGGCTGCAAGAGAATTCGGGGCTTCTTTTCATCATCGAAAATCGTATTGTCATCGTTGTAGACATTCGACGGCTGTCCGATCTGGTGGCCATCTACACGGCCCCACGTGAGCAGTTTTCCTTCGGACGTGCAAGCGACCGAATGGTGTAGTCCGCCCTCAATCTGGGTAACCTTGTGGTCCTGAAGCGATTCGACAAGTTTGGGGTGGAGAATCATAGCTTCATCTTCTCCGGTATGTTCCCTCAGGCCGGTTTGTGAGTAGTTGTTCAAACCCCAAGCCCAGATCTGGTCTTCGTTGTCGACGTAGAAACTGTGGTAAGAACCAGCGCTCACGTCGACAGCGTGATGTCTCTTAGTAAATTTACCGCATGGCTGCGGATTAAGTCCAGCACTCGGGCCCGAAAGACGAGAAACCGGCTTTCTCCCAAGCTGGAACTGACCTCCACTACCCCAGGTGAACACTTTGCCGCTCAAGTCCAAAGCCAAGACGTGATTCGCACCACATGCTAGTTTAGTGATGTTCTTCAACCCAGGAATGAGAACAGGTGTTTCTTGAATTCGTGCGTGTTCGCTAAATCCAATGATGCCATCGGCGCCTCTGAAAGTGCCCCAGCCGTAAACCCAGCCGTCATCTGTAAGGATAAAGGAGGCGGAGTCGCAGGCAGCAACCTGTGCGATTCTGGTGCCTTCAGGTAGCATGCTGATATCAACTTCTCCGGGAGTGCTCTCATTAGGATTGATACCCGTGTCATCATCATCTTCGTCGTCACTCTCATCGTCGACGTCACGAGTACCACCCTCCCAAAAAGTGTTGCGACCAAGCGCTTTGTCATCGTTGACACCCCAGGTCAAGATTTTCTGATCCTGGGTCAGGGCAACACAATGCATACCTCCACAAGCCAAGGCGACAATATTTTTGAGGTTGTGGTTAAGTCGAGGTCGTTTTACATCGATAGGCTTCTTTCCATCATGTTTCGTACTGCCGAGACCAAGTTCGCCTGATGATCCTTCACCAAAGACGAATACGTCAAGTTCTTTAGTAGGCACCTCATTGAAAGGTAGTCCTCTTGCGCCAGGGCCTCTCGTACGCGGTGCGGCCCTCTGGGGGCGGCTCTGGGTAGCAGTACTGACGATAGTCTCGGCCGCTTTCGCTGGTTCAGGCGCCGGCTTGGGTGCTTTGGCTTTGGCTTTGGCTTTGGGCTTTTCGGGCTTCTTGGATGCAGCTGGAACACTGCGGGGCTTCTTCGCCTTGGGTGCTTCCTCAGGCTCATCGCTTTCCTCTTCAGGTTTGTCTTCATCTTTATCCTCCACTTCTCGCTTGCGCTTAGAAGCGCGTGCTGCAGTCTTCGTGCCGCGACGGTCATCATCACGGCTGTCATTACCTTCATCGACGAGAACAGATGCGGCGGTGACTTTTCCAGCCGCTCTTCCTCTTCTCGGCGCAGGAGGGGCTTGGGCTGGCATTTTGTCGAGCATACGACCTCCATTCACTTCTTTCAGTTGTTTTCGCTTCCTTGTCGGTTCATCCTCCTCCTTTTTCTCGACAATTTTATCTTCCTCAAAACTTTCATCTCCCTCGTCACTTTCATTTTCTTCACCATCATCAATCTCATCGTGGATAGGTTGCTTCACTTCGCTGCGACCATTTGAGGTAGGGGCTGTGTTGGTAGTCGCGCTCGATCGCTTAGTCTTAGCAGGGGCTCTAGTCTTAGTGGCCTTCTGGGACGCGGCATTCGACGCCGTTGAGGCGCCACGATTTTTCGGAGGCATTGTGTATTGAGTGCAATTCGGGTGGATGCCGAAACAGATAAGAGTGATGGTAGAGGGGATAAAGGAAATAATTAGCAGTCTTTATACGTGCCGGGCCGACCAAAGACACTGCTATCAAGAGGATCGCGCCGCTAAATAGTAAAAGGGTAAGGCGGATAAGAGTGAGTCAGATGTTGAGTAAGCTGGTAAGGTGAAGTGTAAGTGAAGTGTAGGTGAGGTGTGTGAATAGTTTTAAAGCTTGGTGGTTGTGATGCGCAAGTAACGCAACTATCGCGTCTTGCTGTCAAGTCAGGCAAGACGTGACGTGACCCAGTCGGGAATTTGGAATATTGCAAAAAAAGATTTGCAAAACGCGAGAACCAAGACTGATGTGACTAATGTGGATAAGTCAATGGCAAAAAAAAGAAGAATGGCTTCTCTTTCTTTGTTAATGTTGAGAATAATTGGGAAGGGCCTCGAGAAGTGGCTCGAGTTAAAAGAAAGATGAATTGCTTTCGGTGATGAATGTTGTGAGGTAGAAAGAAAAGCGCGCTGTTGGAAATTTTTAGGCAAAAAAAGCTGTGCTTAACTTCTTCACTGTTTTGTTTTTTTAAAAAAATAAAAAATAAAAAATACGCAGGTACATCAGTTCGCTGCATGCGGCCTTGGGCAATCGCGCGTTCTGGGCCCCACAATAGCTCTTTTAGGTGGCTTGGAAGCTCCAGATCAAATCAAGCTAGGGTCTAGACAAGGGAGCTTTCCTCACCGCCCGGGTACTTACCCGATCTGTGCAGGTACTTAGGGACTTTTACGTATTTGTACAGCGTTATCCCTGTTAGCTTGAAAGTTTTTATCCGGCAGAAAAAAAGAATTAAGGGTAAGGAGAAGGAAAGATCAGTGAATCAAACTCCAGTGTCAAAATCTCGATTTTCTCCCCAGTCATGCGAACCATTTTTATTGTGTGCACACTGCACAGTACATGACGATACTTAAATACTTACATAAGGTACATAAACGTATTGTACAGGGGCACAAAAAAAAAAAAAAGGAGAGCCAATTATTTTCGATTCAGGGCCCAGGCAAAGTTCAATCAGATACCTAGGTACCTAGTACCTAAGGTACCTAGGTAGGTACATTTTTCTATTCGAATCAGGATACAAATACATTATTCTCTTTTCCACGGTTGACCGTACAAACTACATGCAATCACCACTTCCAGCTTCTACAACCGAGTTTTCCTATTCCTACCCGTAAATCGAATGCTTCTGTTGCTGATCATGTGTCATCTAGGTTATGAATACAATAGTTGTCTTTGGAAATTCCAAGGTACATCCTACGAGCCTTGGATAGAATCATCGGAGAAAAAAAAAATTATATTTTTAATGCTAGAAAACCCGACTCCGTGCTCCGGCGACCGTATCATATAGAATCCCACCGAAGTTCTCCGTATAGCAATATTTACTACCAAAACCATCATGAGTCGCAGTCACTAGTGCTGTCCTAACACCGATTCGCCCCATGAAAATCTCTATGATAGACTATTTTTTTATTCAAATCCATATGCTTGATGCCTCATTTCTTCGTGGTAAAGTCTGTCTCGTTAGGGTTCGCGTCCGAAGTACCGCGTTCGCAGGTACAGGAGATGGCAGGGCGAACACCACATGCGCAGGTGCTACCAGTAACGATTTGGTTCTCCTTGGGCGCATTCTCACAGGTACAGTGGCCAGCAGGACGAGCTCGACATGAGCATCGAGGGCCGCTAACGTCATTCTCGACTGCCGCTTTCTCGCACGTGCATTCAAGGGCGGATTCCTGGCCGCAGGAGCAGGTGGCCTGTTTAGCTACGAACAGAGATGTTAGTCAATCTTGTTCTCCATATGGGTATGAGGTTATGCTGTATATGAGATGAGGCTCAAACTTACCACAGACACACTCGTCCCCGGTGTTCCTGCCGCAGCAAGTAGGTGTTGCCTTCGCGACTTTAGTTGCTTTCTCGACTTCAGTTGCCATCGTGATGGGATGTGATGCGTAGATGTGATGTGGTGTAGATGTGATGGATGTTGTATAAAGTCTGATCGTGAGTACGTGAAAAGTCAAGTGGGCTGGTTTTTCGTTAAGATTCGTCAAGAAATCTGTGTCTGCATCTCGTATCTGAACAGTGATATGGAAGATGATGGCGGGTTATTAAATATTTATACATACGATGTAGCTTTCGTACCTGTAGCTTGAGAACTCAACGTTGTTTCTATCAGTACCTATGAGAAACTGCCACTGACATCACTAGCCAAACTTAGTCAAAGGAAAAGTAATCATGTCAGGTCCAATTGGTCAATATTTTTCTTGAGGGAGAAGCATCAGCCAATGACAGCATTTGTAATTAGTTTAGTTAGGTTCTGGTTCGTCTAATGGTCGCCGCTCAGGGGAGATCCAGACCGGAGGCGGACCCTAATGAGGCTGAATTTCTCCAACATCGTCAGTTAGTTGTGTCTAGATGGTCTGGTTCGATAACTTAGTCACACTCTACATTACAAACCTATGAATTGCACACTCTATCATTGGTTGACTATTAGGTTTGCTCCAATTTCGTTTGCTCATGGGATAAATGCCATCCACTTTTTGCCCCTTACGCGTGGATTTCCATCAATAAAATAGCCCTCAACTAGGAATCCAGTTCAATCCCCCGCATAGATTCCTGGTAGGGAAAGCAACTTCGTTGTTCCGCGAGGAACCCTACTAGGATAGCTCCTTCGCTAACCTACTTTTACCTCGAGTTAGGTATGACCTAAAATTGCAGTCAGATTAAACGGCGGAAAGTACTGCTATCTACTCTCAAACCAAGTCAATGAACCTTTGGCTTCAAGTTACAAAAGTTGGGTAGTGACTACCGTATACCCCTTATTAAAGTTATCCTTGTTCTGAATATCTCGCTTTAAGACTCTGTATCAGTTGTGACATAACAGGCATTGAGGATGTAAAACTAAAGTGAAGACAGCCTGAAGAACTACCTAAACTGTTGAAACTCTCGGTTGAATGCTAATTCCATATATTAATATGAGCGGGATATAAGTTAGGTAGGTACCTAGGTACATACTTATAATAAGGCAAGAGGTAAACTTTCGATATTACACAATAGAACTAGCCAACTCCCTTACCCCGAACTTAATAGAATTCCTGACGAGACATTTAACAGACATAGCACCTTCAGTACCTGTCATATTAGTTGAAACCTCCTAACAGTGGTAGGTATGTCATGATACGTTATCCGCATTTTCTGAAGTGCCTAGGCCGGAATAACTACACGACTGAAGGTATATGGTGAGGTTAGTAATGATATCTAATCCGGAACCATGATGCATCGCCCATTTATGAGTTGGCTTTAGGGGAATTGAAATTCATTTTTATTTGAAGGTATACAGCACCTATTGAACTCGGTTCTAGGTAGGAGGTAACAGGTACCATAACCGGAGTCGAGTGTTAGGTACCTTAGATCTTCATATGCGATTATCTATTCATCACCTAGGTACCTATCGCTTAGCGCTGTCTGCCTAGATCAATGAGATTCGGCGCCAGTTATCTCTATCTATAAATCGTGTATACCTAATCGTATCCCTAGGTACAGTACCTAATCATTATAGGGTGCACCAAACTTCTGCGATGAGAAAGCGCTTACTTACGTCTTTGTTCGATAGGCGAGGGGTTCGAACCCCGCACGAGGTACTTCGAGCGACTATGATCATTGGTATTCCTGCTTCGTTTCGCTGGAATCAATATGAGCAATGACTGGTGCTGGTGCTGGTGCTGGTCGACCCTTAAGGCGCTAATTCTCGGATCGTCCCCCGACAAATCCTGCTTATTAGTCCTGTTAGCATTGCTAATGAGGACGGATGACTATGGATATGGAGATGAATATGAATATGGCGGTTGATAGGTTTCGTATTGGGAATAAATAGTCGAATGGCCAAACGGGAGTCAAAACTCTTTTGACTATCGATCGGGCGATAAGTCAACGAAAACCATTACTACCTTGGGTAGGTGAGGTAGTAATTCTGAGCCCTGTGATAACATGCTACAACCTGTAGGGTAAAATAGAAAACAAGCCGGTAATTTCCACATATGTGGTGATTCTAAGAATGTTCGAATTTGCTAGAACGATGCAGTGGCAGGTCCCCTCATTTTCCTAGTGGTCTCCGGATCCGAATCTATCAGAGACACACTCATCTCCGAGTGGTGTGGTTGGGGGCCGAGAAGGGATTATAAATGCCGCGGAGCTACAGATTTATCTTATCGACAGGAAGAGGTTCGTAGATATCTAATTAGAGACGTAGATGAGAAGGAATAGCAGTGGTGTAGCTTTTTTCTGTAGGTAGTTTCTAATAATAAAGAACAGCCTTGGGATCTCTACCATATAATCGCCGGCATTTTCGGTAGGACTAGAAAATCACGACCCTGAAGAATTCATTAATATAAATGGAACGGGACAAAATTATCAAGATGCAGCCTAGGATGCAACTTGGGGTCGCGAGCTGTAAAACTTTTACCTTTTTGGCGTTCTGTGCTCACCCAACATCAGCCAAGTGAACCATAGGAAGGGAAGAGAGCGAATAGAATGATCAGAGTAAATCGTCTCGACCAACTCGTATCAGCAGTAAATAGTCTCACTGCATGGTAATACCTTGTACAATCCCTGCAAACCACGCCGACCTTTCCAGCGTGCCATCAAACGATTGGACTAGGTGTTCGCCACAGCAATGGACAACACCAATACCTAAGACATACAGACCTCGTGTTACCTACACGCACATACGATTGCGGGAGGATCATAAGGGCATATCTTTCGGCCCCATACATACCTGCCTATTCCATATCTCATATGTAAGATAGGTAGGTATCCATAGCTGCCATAGGCATGGCTAACTTGGTAAATCCAGCCGACTGGTCTTAGATCAGAAACATTGACAGCCAGAGATGTCCTACCTTTTGAGTGTGCAGATGACAAGATCTATCCTTTTCTGGTCTTATCCGGCTCGGGAAACAAAAAACGCACATTCGATAGTTTCCAAGGCTCCCCCCAATTTGACGGGTTGCATTGGAATAGGCCGTCACGATTGCATATGCAGGTAAGCCAATCCACCAATGCTACTTGGTGTCCAGGGGCTATGTAAATCCGGTTTTCGTATTGGCTCTGACAGGGAAAAGTGCGGTGGACTCGTTAGACAGATTTTCTATGACATCCCTCGATACGCCAACGTCATCGCCCTAAAAAAACTCCTGTTGAGTAAATGTAACTCTAGGTAGGCAATAGAAGAATCGCTAAAAAAAAAAAGAGAGAAAAGAAGAAAAGAAAAAGAAAGACACCATCTTCGTATTGCCATATAGCACTGCTTTCCCCGCCGTGTGCCGCTATCGAAACATCCCCTCCTGGTAATGTAAAATCTTTCAATTCACAATGAATTGGTATAGGGGATCCACGGTGATCGTAGAGCCTACTCCCGCTAAGCCTGAAGGCCCCGGCAAGAAATTGCGGAGGAAGCTCCAGAAGATCAGCGCCCCTCAGCGTTGGTACAAGCCCAACGACCACAATGACGCCAAGAAGTCGGGTGCCACTATCACCAATACGATCAGCAAACCCATCCCATCAACATCCGGTCGTGATGATGGTAAATGGCTTGAGCAGCTTCGCAAGAGCGGGTCTCTCTGCCGCGGTCAACTGCCCGTACAGCCTGTCGAGAAGTCGCTGCGACACTCTATGCAAGTCATTCCCGAATTCGCGCATCTTGCCGCCGACGACACGAAACCGGGCAGACAACTTGACAGAAGGGCCTCCTGCGCCAACCCTCCTTCAGCCGCATCGGCGACGAGAAGGTATGCGAAGACGCCCGTCCATCATATCGGACAATTAGAGGAGGATTCCAGAAAAGAGCAAACGGCGAGACACAGAGTTTCGAGCGTGGAAGAAATTGCGGAATCTTATAGAGCTTTACTGGAGTCAAGTTGCGCAATATTGAACGACACGAACCAAGTCCAACCATTACGCCTGGGGGAGTCTTACCGTGCAAGCTTGGACAACCAAGCAGCACGAGAAGACATCACTCCGGATTTCTCCGAGACATTATTAGTTAGATCATCGCCTCGTTCCGACGACGGGACGTTGGTAGCTTCCGAGGTGGATTCAGTTTCCCTTCAACCTTCATTCACACCCGAACTCCCTTCTCCTCGAGAGAGTCGTCGACACCACCAACATGCACCGGCCCTCCCGCCGCCGAGGCGAGCAACCCCCGGGAGCCCCAGCCTGCAGATCTGCGTTGACCTGCTTGGACAAGAGCTTTCGTCGGCCGCCAGAGGGTCGGCGTTTCGACCCAATGCGGAAACTTCATCATTACAAATTTGGGTCATGATAGAAGCTTACGAGAGATTGCGAGACAAGATTTCAGATATGCGACTAGACGAAGACCAGGAGCGATCGTTGAATACTATGCTTGATACTTGGATCAGGGCGTTATATGCGGTCCATGATAGAATGACAGGAAATGATGGGCATGAAAGCGAGAGCGACTATGGCGACTAGATATAGATGAAAGTCGACTTTTGACTTTTGGTTTCCTTGGGGAGAGAGGTAGCGGGGAGGGAGGGGTTTATTTTTGATTTACATCACTTGCAATGATACCTGATCTTGGTCACGGAGGTCCGAGACAACGAGTGATGACAAAATGGTGTACAAGGAAAGAACTTGATTTTTTTTATGTACTAAACACATCGGGTTTACAGGACGGTTTCAAGGACGGGAGCGGGGAGAGAATTTGATACCTCTGGATCGTTGGAATTTTCTTTGGTGGACATGTATAATCATAACACTATTTCGAATGCCCAGTTAATGACAACTGATTGTGAAGAAGCTGGAGCGTCCAGGCGACCGAAGTGTTCCGTTGGGGTCCCCGTTAAAACAACGCTAAAACCCCACAGTCAACCGTAAACCGTAAACCGTAGCGCAAACTACTTCCCGGCGAGATGAAAACGGTTAAAATAGGGGTCGTCGATCCTCCACTACCACCTGCATAACCAGCTAGAATAGTGGCCGTGATGAGTCAACAGCCGAAATATACCTTAAAGATGCCTAACAAAAATTATCATTGGCCTGGATTTTCATTATTGTTGATTTTGTAGGCTTTGTGCTGATTATTACCAGTCTATTCTACTCCACATTCTACAAACTCAGACTCTCACGATGGATACTTAAATCAACTAACTTCCAATGCAAGTCTTCATTCTCTTTGTGGTCTCTTCCTGCCCGTCCTTGTGTCCATATGTTCCCAGGGTAGCCACGACAGTTTTTACAAAGTATATTGGTTAATCTGAATGTCAATAATATACCCCCCCTACTCTCTGGTATTTCTCTAATATATTGCGCCGTACTTCCAATAGGCATTCTCTATCGTCAATCCGATTTCTTCATAATTAGTCCGCCCGAAGAAAGCTATTCTCACCAACTTATCGTCATGGCTCATCAAAACACTACGGAGTCCCAGTCGAATGTTGGCAATTCCCTTCGACGAAACCGCCTTATGTTAGATATCAAGGAACTCATGGAAAATCCTTACCCCAATATCGCTTTTCACATAAGCAACGACGACCTTTCGGTAGCATGCCTGGTCCTTACGCCTTCTAACTATAAACCCTTACACCTTACCGTGTATTTTTCACCAATGTATCCTCTAGATCCGCCACAAGTCAAAATGAACTCAGACGTCCACCATCCTAATGTCTTTAATGACTACATATGTGCCACCATTCTACGGCGCACCGATGAGCATACACCGGCATACACTCTGAAGGGTATAGCCATCCAACTACTTAGTTTCTTCTCCAGCGACACCATCGAGCAGGACTATGGCGGCGTCAGAAAGAACCTGTCTACATTCAGGGCCGTGGATAGGCAGTTGATTGACTCGTTCACGTGTAACTACTGCTATTTTGGACAAGCCCAATGGAAATCCCCTCGGAAAGCCGTCTCATCGCAGCCTTATGATGCCCGCGTGAGTAATAATCCAGATCAGTGGCCTACCCTTCACAGGGTTTGGAAACCGCGTCACCAACAAACCCAAAGCACCAAATATAAAGTAGAGATACCTCCACCTGCGAAGGTTGCGGTTTGTGAAATCGACCGTCTACCGACCGAACTGATGCTGCTTATTCTTGAGCAGCTAGACTTCGAGGATTTGACAAGCTTTGCTGCCGCTTGGCCTAGGATCAGTGACATAGTCAGGGAGTTCGATGTTATCAGGCAGCGGGAGCTTCAATGCTTCTGTCTCAAGCAAACTTACCATTCCGTAAATCTCGGCGTCGGTGTATCGATCGAGAGTGGCCATATTGCCTCAGAGTTTGACCTTCTTTCCCAGGAAGCCTACAGACACTGGAATATTCGTCTGTCTGTCAACAATCTCCATTTCGATCACTGGCTTCCTTTACCTATCTCTCCCGGGCATTGGGGGAGGGTCAAGAAGTCCGTCAAAATTGCCCTAGATGCAATGGTACAAAAGATACCGAATAAGGGGACTTTCACCGAAGCTCAAGTGCTGTTCACGTTTATGACTGATGTCGTCATTCGACTTACCCAAGTAACAGACTCTACTACCAGCTGCGATTCTTCCAGGACTAACCTTCGTCATGCATCGGAAAAGGCTATTGATTCATACTTCCACCTGTTCCACCTGCTGGTGTGCCTTGCCACCGAGGATCACACCCTGGTTGTGCATGCAAACCGTTTACTACAGAACTTTATAAGTGGAAAACGATCCAAAGTGGAGTGTCCTAGTTTGGGACATCTCCACATTGCCTTGTTGATATCTGACGTCGAGGTTACGGAAGGGCTTATAAAGGCCATCATCATCGAAGCGATTACGAGAAATGTGGTCTGGCTTTTTGATAAGATAGGATCCAACATGCCCGAGCTGTCATATTTGGAGCGGGACCCGGTATCAGCTTACCGCCTGGACCAGACTTTCAGGGGCTCGCGAACTTCTTATCGAATTCTGATGTTCTCAGAGCTATTCCGGCGCACGGCACGGCCTTCTCACAAGAAACCATTGAGCCAAGTTCGCGACGAGTTATTCGACCGCCATGGCGCTCCGCCCCGCGGTGCCGCTCAACGACTAGCAGAGACAATGCGGCGCCTACACACTATCAATGACTTTCCATCTTTCCTCAGAGAGATGGGAATCCAAGAAATACCGAACGCTCGGACTTTCACCGGCCTGCTGCGGAAGGCTGTGCAGTCCAGCATGGAAAAGGGATACTCCCAGCGGGGAGTACCAACCGAATACGCACTTCTATTACGCATAGAGAAGGATCCACATGTGTCGATGAGTGACGAGGAAGCCAGATGGGTTGAAAGCCATCGGCATGAGTACGCCGCCAGCTACCTACAGAGCTTCTTTCCAAACAACAGGAATCTATATAATTACTAAACACGAATAGGTTAGGTACCTAGTCAAGTTGCTCTTTAAGAGGTAAACCATCTGTCTACCTGAGGTATTTTACCTATGTAGGTACCCACCCCGCTGAGGGTATGTACTCTACATAGCTTGGAGTGAGAGTCGTGAAAACGTTCCGAAGCTCTTCGAGGTAGTACATCGGTAGTCGCCTTATTCTGGGCAAAGGGAGCCGGCGCTGCTCGATGCAGATTTGGTGTTCAGGGAGGAGGTAGGTAACAACTATTGTCCCAAGCCATGACAGCAGTAAGCCATTCCATACGGGAATGGATAAAATAATAAATAAAGTTAAACAAAAAAAAAACATATAATTTCCTATACAGTGATACAGCACATGAAGGTGAATGTAGAGAAAAGAAAGAGATAGGTGGTGACGATGACTGATACATGTATAGCGTTTTACATGGATAGCGTTTGGGAAATGTACCAAAAAGAGTATGCGTCAAGGGAATTGATTGGATCGATGGGGCTAGCAAACAACCTAAACTTTTTAGTTTCCACATGGAGTCCGTTAGTATGCAAACACGTACGCTAGGTACCATCGATATGAATTTAAAACGACATGAATTTAAAGAGACGACCTTGTAGAAGGTTCTACATACACTAAATTACATAAAACCATATATCTCGCTAAACCCTTGAGAGCTTAGCACGGACGGTAGTACCCGTTCAATCTTGAAAGTTGAAAAGTTGAATTATTCAATCTTTTTCCTTTCTTTTGGTCTTTTTTTCTGGATCGCAATGTCTTCTCATGGAACTTACTAAATCAAAGAAACGATTATTCTCCACAATTGATTGATTAGTGCGTTGTTCAGTTGAAGCTCGTTATTATTTCCAGGGCGTCACCGTTGAGCTGGGGACGACGGGAGAGAAAGGGATGGAACAGCGTGGCCGTTATTGTCTTAAAGAACACATCACAGCCTCATAACCACACGATCAGCCAAGTAGCCGACTATGGGCGACTGAAAAAATATTACCAAATAGTTTGGAATGGGTTAAATCATTTGTCCAACCGATGGTTCATTTGCATGTCTTCCTCCTTGACTTCTCCGGATGACCGCTGCCTTTTATACGTACACCGTCACATCGTTGCTTGGTTGCCTTGGTTGCCTGGCATTGGCACGGACGCGATACCTTCTAGTTAAGCTTAACTACACGGTTTGATCTTTCATTATGGATCGTAGAGAGGGAACAAGACAAGAAGCAGATTTATCCAGCTCCGAAATCAAGACAGATGGAGGAGATACCCAAAGCATCAGCGTTTCCTCCGATATCAGATCGATATCTGTCTCAAGCTCCCATGACTCCTCGGGCAATATCGACGATGCTGAGGAGCATCGTAAGATGATGCTAGCTAGCTTGCTTGAAGATTACATCCGTGCTCGTGCTGCCGAGTGGCTCAATACCACCAACCCGGGACATAACTATACGAGAAACTCCCCAGAGATTCAGCCTCTCGCGAGACGACTTTTCGCCGACGCAAGTCGAACACTATCAGCGAATGGAGTCATGTCGGATTTTGTCGCATCTGACGCTCTGAGAAATTCTCGTCGCCAATACCTATCAGCTTTAGACAATCTGGTGGCTGGTTCTCAAGCACCCGCATCTCCCTTACCCAATGCGATGCGTGACTTGGTTCTTGGGACGTCCCAACTTACTCTTCTACCCCATCCAGCTGATGACTCGAAACTGACCCTCCAGCCTTCCCCAATAAGCCATTATCAATCCTCGTTTAAAGAGTGCGCACTCTTAGGAAAAGGTGGTTTCGGGAAAGTGTACAAGTGTTTCAACCCATTAGACCAAGGGACGTATGCGGTAAAGAAGATCCAACTATCTCCGAGACTTGGAAGAAGGTTTCGCGATGGGAAGCTTGAAGAGCTTCAGCATATCTTACGCGAGGTACAAGCTTTAGCCACGCTGGATCACCCTAATATCGTGCGATATCATGCTACATGGCTTGAGGAGCCTCATCCGTCACAATCAGTTGAAGTCCCACACGGTACGTTAATATATCTATCTAGGTAGTTAGTCTGCTTTATCCCTATTTACCTGACATGGTTGACCGTGCGAATGCGTGTTATCCACGTGGCTGAACCTCGTTTCGACGTAACGATAATCGCTGACTGGCAATTTAGGCTCCAGCACGAAGGCAGACGTATGTCAAAGGAAGCAGTTGCTATTGGAACAATGGCCCTTCTCTGAAGACGAAGAGCACAGGCCAGAGCCGTCAGTAAGCGGCGGTGTTGTTTTTGCAGAAGATACTCAATCTTGCCGTGATAGCAACGCTAATGATCAATTAATTAATGAACAACAATGGTTTGAGAAGCTTACCTCTGAGGAAGCTTTTACTGAGAGCCTTTCCTTGTCAAATCCCAGCGATATATTTACAGACGGGAAAAGCCATCTAGCAAACACGAGCGGAAATCGGGGGGCGTTCGACGCAGTCGGATACACCTTATACATACAAATGTCCTTATATCCAATGACACTAGCTCAGTATATATCTCTTTCTTCTAGCGGGCGTGAGGCCTTAAGACACTGCTTTCATCTTGTCCCAAGCCTTAGGCTCCTTCATGCCATACACGCAGGGTTACGGTACGTCCACGCTAAAGGTTTCATACACCGAGACATTAAGCCGGGCAACATATTCCTCTCCTTACCCGAGGCTGAGCCAAGAAGCGGATACTGTAACCTTGCATGTAATTCTTGTCGGACAGGGGCCGGAAATCTACTTCCGCAATGGCTTAATCCGCGGATTGGTGATTTTGGGCTGGTGACCCAACTTGCGCGCGGGGAGTTGCCTCTATCAATTGCAAAAGACAATAGCTCGTCAACATCGAATCGCCCTGTCGGCACTACGTACTACCGGCCACCGTCGTCAAAAGATGCCGACAACGAGAAAGTCGACATATTCGCTCTAGGTGTCGTGTTCATCGAAATGGTATGCCCCTGTGCAACAGCCATGGAACGAGTCGATATGCTTCAGAGACTGCAGATGGGTTGTGTACCAATGAGTCTGGAACAAGGTCTCGAACGCGAGGGCTATGCCCCTGAGGTCATTGAGGAGGTAGTTTCACTGGCAGAAGCGATGGTTCGCCCTGATTCGAGAACCAGATGGTCTAGTCGGCAAGTAGATGAGGCGATCGAAGAGGTACTACGGAAATGCGAAAAGCCATAACCTACCTGGTAGCTTAGGTACCTATCGTCTTTGACATTGATTTACTTACTGGGTGCTTTCGCGCGGACCTTGACTATATGAGCCTTTGGTTGAATACCATGATTGAGATTACAACTTTTTTCTTTTCGACGAAAGATAGCTCCTACCTAACCTAACTTAGGTACCTATTCATAATATACCTTGGATAATAATAAGAGTATAATTTCAGCTATAGAAATATTTAACTAAATCAATGATAAGCCACTTTAGAACACGATGGAAGCACCCTTGCCGGTTCGCAACGATAATTTAGACATCAACCCTCATTTGCTAGACATGCTAGTAACACAACTCAGTCTATGTACAAGTGTATGGGTAGTTGAATGCCTGTTGTAGGATTTATTCTATTTTAAACTACCTAACCTTAGGTACCTTTAGCTCCTGCTCTATACGATAGCATGTCTGTAGTTGGAGGAGGTTATGTTTGCATACATCAACATTAGTTTACTTTAGCCTGAACGAGATTAGCTATCGAACATGCCGGCATGCCTACCTAATTCTGATACTGATAGGAGGTAGTTTGTCTAATGCTGCACTACTATGTAGGTTAGGGACACTTACCTATACTACCTAGTTCCCGTAATTGGCTCGTGGCTGTGCTCGCGTGCAACTACTCATAAGTTACGATGTGAAAGTTGAAATACGAATACCATGTAGCCAATTGAAAGTCTTGGCGCTGTGGTAGGGGTCCAGATGGGGCATGTGCCCATCCACTGCGGGATTACGTATGTACCTAAATACAGGGTGTTGCAGGCGCCGACACAAGTTAACACAAACATGTATGTACCCACATACCCACATAGGTATTTGTTCATAATTAGGTACCTTAGAGCAGGGCGGATCGCAATGTCTTTCTGGATGTTTAGTTAGGTACGAGCACCTGCTAAGGTTAACTTTAAGTACTTATATGTTTGTATTGTAATTTTTTTTGGTGCTAAATTATCCAAACTATCGTCATCCCGACCAAATGGATTTTCAACCAAACATCCTATTGTTTTTCTCCAACATTACATCCTCCTCCTCCTCCTCGCAAGTTTTGTCGCGGCAGGCTTTAAATCTTTTCTACCGTACATATTCTATTCTAACCTCTTGAAACTATCGTAACATCGAATATCAAATATCGATCATCATCATCGTCATCATCATTATCATCGCCATCTTCCAAATCCTTGCATCTATCTATACAGGTCCACCTCTTATAGCTCTTCCCGCTTTGCCTGCATTCAATTTACGACAGCCATTCGCCTCTTCTTCCGCATCCGACCAGACATCATTTATCCGTCTGCTAATTTTGTGATACCTTTCTTAACAACTACCTACGTCAACACGGGTTACCCGGCACCCCTTGATTTAAACCTTTGAGGCGCATTGAATAATTCGCCCGTTTGTATCGTCGCCGATTACGTTAGACCTATTCTCGCGTACTTTGTTTTCCATTTATTTATCCCCTGCCGTATCCAAAAACCCGAAATCTATTTATTCTAGATGTTGCGGTAGCTTATAAGGCATTCCTCGATTTGCTACCATGAATGAAGGGTCGTACAATAATGTCGTCCGGAACAACAGCCTGTTCTCCCCAATGTAAGTTTATGCTCCTGTCGTAATCGCCCGCAATATATAGATATTCATATTTTATATTCTATCTACACATGTCAATCTTACCTAGTTCATTCGCTACTGACACCTATATTTTCCACGTAGGACGCCTTCTACCCCTAATACCTATAAGGCAAATGTAAACCGAACCAAGACAAGAAAATGGGTAGAAGCTAAGGTTCAAAGCTACGACGGTGATGATTGGGGTAATGAATACGAGGACGAATATGGCGATCCCGAACCGGAACCCGAGCCTGCACCTAGGGTCGCTGCGTTACGACAACAAGCGAACACCCAGCAACCGAGAACATTCTCTCATTCTTCGGTCGGCATGGTTAGCTCATCGAACAGACTGGGTCCTTTCGGGACAAGAGACTCCAATGGCCCGCCATCTTTGCATATTGAAACAGGATCGAACTCAGGACCTCGAGCAGTCGACACTACCACGTCTGCCGATCAAGGATCAACATCGTCTCGCTTCCCCCCTCGTGATACGAGTAGAACACGTGAGGAAAGTCGCATTAATGACAGGAATACCCCTGAACCAGATTCTCGACTGTGGACGCAAAGAATATCATCATCCCCCACAAAGCCTTCGGACCTAGTTCGATCTTCAGACCATTACAACCGACCGGGTGAAGAGAGGGAGAAAGATGGTAGGACTATAGAGTCGGGTGGACTTACCGTAGAAGGCAGCTATGGTCGGAATAATATGCTTGAGCCACAGGGAGAGCCTACGAACCAGGGGCGACTTTCCACCAGTCCCAAGTTGCCCGACCTGGCACGCATGTCTGGGTTTGGCGATGATTTCTTCTCGACTGCTGGAAACTATAATTCTCAAGCACGTCCAGGTTTACCGACAATTCCGGATACTCAACAGACGGATGGAGCTGGGAATGCGTCTAACGAATTAACTAGATTGAATAACGAACGGCGTGGCACTTTTGGAATCTCTGAAGAAAACAATCCCTCAAGTACTTTGGCGGGCCCAAAGCTCCAACCGAACCCCCAAATCATTATGCCGCCGCTCGCCGCTGATTCTGAACCGAATAAGAGTAACATCGTCAATACAACTAACCAATCTGCAACATCTAGACCTCAACTCCCCGGCACTTGGGTGTCCGAAACTACCAGTGTCGGTTCAGGCTTTCCAACGCCCACAGAAAAGGTCGAGGGGTCCGGCCTGGCCTCCTTGGGTGGCGCCGCGAATACTAACGCGTCTCCAATAAGCATGAGACACGCGGAGCTCTCTGATCTCGAACCAACCACTGCTGTCCGACAGCTGCCGTCAAAATACGCTGACTTAGATGCAGCGGCTGAAATTAGAGCTATGCGTACGTCTAAGGAGGACTTCAATAATTCTGTTGGGAAGCATGACGAAAAAATAGCATCGAAAGTAATCGCTGCTGGACCTGGTTATCACCCGACGCCTTCGTCTCTTCCACCTTTAAAAACGGGTAATCACCTCTCTTCATTGTCTAATACTGCTTCACTGGAGAAGCAAGAGTCTCCCGAAGTAACTGGTATGGGATTATCGGTCTTACAATCGAGGGATTCTCCCTCATCGTCTTCGACTCGTCAGAGTGCGACGATCGGCTCAAGTTTCGCTCCTACAGCGCCGCTAAATCCACGTCGATCCATCATCGCTCCAGCAGAGGTTGTGACACCCACGATACAGGAATGGAAGTCTACTCCGAGCACTATCGATACTACATCTCCTGAGAAGGAAAGCGACAAGTTGAGAGAAGAGATAATGAAATCTTTGAGCACAAGTCCAGCCACCAAACCTGATGCGAATACTGTCCTCGACGCGTCTCACGCGGCTTTTGACCCAGCGCCAGACAGGCTGACCCGGGAGAGTACTTACTTATCTGATGTCTACGATGATTACCTAGCGCCAGTGGAGGATAAGTCTCTCCAAGAGACGGGTTTGCTTCTTAAGCAGGGTTCTGGATCAGCCAATTACGGGATGGGCGAGAGTGAGACTGAACCCGGGCAGGATCTACAGAAGGGAAATACCTTTCCGGATATTCGTCCTTTGAGTCCACATAGAAGCCCGGAGCAGGGGAATGCAAACTGCCAAAACCGGTTCTCTTGGGAAAATGATGCCGGGAAGAATGCGCTCAATCCTGCCGTGGTGATTCCAAGTGTGTCAGCAACTCCGAGTGATTCAGCTAATGATAGCCGGATTGGAAATGAACCTTCTCAAGCGACGGAGCCGAATGCGATTGCTACTCTCCCAAGTGCTCTGAAAGCCCGGACAGAGAGCCGCGCCACTATATCCCATCAAATATCTGATGTTAGCAGCCGTGCTGCGGGAGATCTATCAATAACCAGTTTTGATTCACCGTCTCCTGTTTCGCAGGTGACGGATAATGGTCATAGAACTCAACCTGCAGCGCCTGAAACATCGCGTTTATCTTTAGCAGAGGAGAAAGAACAAGCCTTGGTCCAATCATCATCAAACACGTCGTCGATCGAACAGCATCCCGCCCTAACACAACCCGTCGAGTCTGCAGTTGAGCCGCCACCTACCCTTCAACCCGCCTTTGTAACCCATCTATCTCCGCAACCAAAGATTATGGCGTTCAGAGACATTCTTAACATCGTGTCAATTGAACAGAGAATACAAAAGTTCGATGAAACGCGGACCCAGTTCTATTCCATGGATTCTGGCTTATCAAATTGGATTTTGTACATGCAGAGCCAGCCAGAGCATGGAACAGATTCAGCGATGCCAATTGGAGGACGAACGTCTCCGGGTATCAAATCTGCATCTCAACAACCATATCGCCAGACGTATTCAAATTCCCACAGCCCTGATGCCCCAGTACAACGCGGAAGGGCTGCGAGTAACAATTTGCAAAACATGTTCACAGGTCCAACTATGACTAATTTGGGCTCCTCTGGTGCTCAGGTTGGGACAAAGAGTAAGGAATTGTTGCAGGCCGCAGGGGCGTTTGGTAATAAGGGGATGAAGTCGGGCATGAAATTATTTAATAAGGGCAAAAACAAGCTTCGCGGAACAGGCGACAAGGGCCTTTTCCAATAGTATTGCCCCTGTCTTCTCTCTCTCTCTCTCTTCGTGTTTTAACTTTCGATTAAGGAGGTTTTATGAGAGCAACGAGTTTATGTTGCAGCGCCGCATTCTGTCTGGATTAAATGATAAAAACGGAGGGCGAAGAGGGCTCTTGTGTGAGGGGCGGAGGCACTGTTTCCCTGCTATTCATATCTTCCAGCTCGGGCTTTTTTTCATCTCTACTGTACTAATTCATCTTGCGAGTACGTGCATTTCTTATTTGGGTTGGGTGAGAGAATCTAGGCGGCGATGTGTAGGTTGTACGATTTATCGGGAGCATGGAATCTAGTCGAAGGACGGAGGTAATTCGATCTAAGATGGCATAATACTAAAAATGAATCCCGTTACTGGTCTTAACTATTAAAGCCATGAATATAAGTCCCTTATATGGGACTGTATTGGAACTTGGCAGAAGGCATCTATGTTGGTGCGATTGGGTAAATACCCCAAACCGTAACAATCACGTACCTTACATACGGATTTGTACTGTGTATCGCGTTCTCAAAAGCGGCCAGTCAACTGGGATATGATGCATATACTGCGGCGTGCCCGCGCTGTTGCGCAACACGCCTCGGTTTCGCATCTTGCAATGTCTATCTCATGGTTGGCTATTAACGATCGAAATAGGCGAAATGTTCCTAGTCTAACTTGGCATCCTAGGCTTGCCGCTCCGTGTTTATTCAACTTGTTTAGCAATGTTACCTTGCTCCATATGTGCTGAGCATTAACCTGCTGCTATGAGGAAAAACTTGGAAATTGCAGGAATATAATAATAGAATCTTTGTTGGTGCTAGATTCGGTACTTTAGGTTAGGTACCTGTCAACTTATGGAATACATAGTATATATAGTATCATGCTTATACGAAAAAAACAAAACAAAAAAAAACAGTCCGATTATTTATATCACTATACGTCGCCAACACGACAAATGGTAGGATATCACTGTTAACCGCAAAGCTGAATAATTCGAGAGGAAGTAAGGAGAATAGTGACAATTATCCCGTAGGATTTAAGTAGCAAAATCACCAGCATACCCCAACCGCGTTTACACGTGTGGACAAGGGGGTGATGATCCTTCGCCCTACCACTCGATCTTCGCAACTATTATCATCGGCGATACGAGCTCTGATTGGCCACAATAAAGGCGATGAGAAAGAGACATTCAGCGGCCCAGTACTCAAATACATGTCTGTCATACTTTGCATTTTGGTGTAGTAACGGGGAATACCGTTAATGTCCCGTACCTCCATTAAATGAACACTCCTTCCTACCAGGCGCCATTCCAAGCATCACTTACTTCCCTCCTTTGGCGTTCAATTTCGCTTGAAAGCTCCTGCAACCCCTGCCCGTGGCTCATTGCGGCATCCTAAGGCGAAGTCAATAAGCAACAACAACAATTCGTAGTCTTCTCGAACGAGAATGATCGAGGAGACGACGACTTACCTACCTACTTCCATGAATCGTGGAGCCATGGAGAGGTATTTGATTGCCCCAGCGTGAAGGCCCTCGAAAACGACGGCGTTTTTTTTCCATCTCCGACAACATTCGTCCACGATCATTTCGGCGGATTCTTCTGCAGTGCAGCCCTAAAGGTTTAGCCTCGCCTTTCGCCTATCCTGCGATGATCCCCTTCGATCTCGGCATAGTGCGACGACGGCGGCAGATCGATCGAAATCGGGCTCGTTGGAGTGGAACGAGGTTTCCACGACACCTGTCGTGATCGATACAACAGCGACGCCGAGCAGCGCGAGCTCGAGGCGCATGGCATCGGAGATGCTCTTCGCGGCAGCTTTAGACGCGAGGTTCGGAGCTATGATTAAGAGAAATTGGCGAGCGAGAACCCTTACCCGAAGAACCAGGTTGCGTTAGGTAAGGTACCTATCCATAGGGTATGGATTACGGCGCCGCACGTGTTCAGGTTGACGATGCGGCTACGGTTCGCAATGAAGACGTCGGCAAATGCCTGGATCGTTCGGACAACGCCCCAGATGTTGATATCAAAAACATGCTTCGCCTTGTCGATGTCGGCGTCGAGCATGGGCATGGTGTATCCGACTCCGGCATTGTTAAAAAGCACGTGTAGGCCGCCGCCGCCGCCGCCTTGACCGACGAGTCAAACAGGACGTCGACCTGTAACACGGTCACGTTCGCCATCTCGGGGAGTTCTTGCGGGATCTTCGAGATGTCCCGGGCCGTTGCGAAGACGTGGCGGCCGCGTCGATGCCACCATCAGAGCATCCTGTGATGGAGACGGTCTTGGAAGACATCTTGGTGGGCTATCTTGGGCAATGTGTCTAGGAAAAACAGGGGTCTGTAACTAAAGTAATGGCAACAACCGGCCATTCAAGCCAACTTCCCGAATCAGATCGCTGGTACCGAGATTTAGTTTTATTGAATCGTATAAGCGCTATTTTACTGACCCCTGTTTGGGCCGTCGAGAGATACGTAGTGTTTAATGAGTTTATCAATGCCTCCCTGCCTTCGGGTATCCTTGCCAGGACAACTCCGTGGAAGGTCTCCAAGTCTGTTGTGTGACCACAAGTCGCTTTGACAAGCCCTCAAGTGTCGGGTTTTCCGTCATGAAAAGGAAGCAGCAGTGGAAAAGTTTTGAATACCTACACCGCCGAGAGAACGGCCGATGTTAGCGAAGACGCAGGACTTATCATACCTTCCAGAAACTGGGTTCGACAAAACAAACACGCCCGGGTATCCCGGAGATGTCGAGTGTTGTTATGTTCTGGAATCCGAGCCGTCATTAAAGGACCGCGTGAGCCGTTGAGTGTCTACCTAGACAACCTTATCTGACAAGACGAGTCCGCTGTATGCGGTGCTGAGGATGAAGCAAAAACGATTGTCATGTCTTGTTCAAAACGTTAGTCTTATATCTGATAGATCAAAAGCGCCCGTTTATTCAAAGGAACTCGCTCGCAACTCAGGCAATATTAACTTTGCCCAGTTCATATAGAGCCTCCCGGCGACGAAAATAAAGCCTACAGAAACCAAGATTGATCCAGCGACCAAAGCCCCGACCCAAAGGCTGGTAGGATCGACTAGATTAGAGCGCAAACCCTTTGATGCTTGCGCTGCAGGCACATCTCAGAGATTGACCACCCCTGGTGGGAATTCTGTAGACATGAGGAGCAACTGAGTAGCAGTGCTAAAACCTTAACAGTACGATAGCGTTGGTGTTTCAACGGGCTGGAGAATCAGTACGGCATCCGTGTCTCCTTCACTCTTTCTTCTACTCTGTCTAAGAGGTAAGCAATGGGCATCAGTAGCGTCCCCGATTGTTTTTTTAGGTGGTAGTTGTTGCGACAGATATGCACACATCCGACAGACTGAAGCATCATCGCTAAATTCGGATTGACAGCAGTAATTGTCATTCGGAACAGAGAAAGGAAAGGGGGTGCGCATCACGTAACCCAAGGCAGGTTGTATTGGAGATGATATCATTCGCTGAGCTGTTCTCTAGACCTAATCTGTTGGTAGAAGTCAGAGATGAGCTTACTGCCCAGGACGTTACAGCAAAGACGCCAGAAGCCGACGAGGAAGCCCACAATGCCAACTTCATGCTGGACATGGCAGCTCTCAAGACTGAATGTCTAGGAGACCCAGCGCACTCGTACGGTTCACGCCATACCATGATGTGGGGGGTTTCCGCTGTCACGTTTGACGCCTATCGTTCTGTGAGCAAAGATGGTCAAAATACCGGGCAGAGTAGTAAGTCAACCAACAACCCTCCACCTAGCAGCTTTCTAGCCTGGGGCTCGCCTCCTTACCTCTGTCCGGCGAGGCGGATGGCCTGCCCCGAGGTCATTCTCATCGCTGCACTTCTCGTCATGCAGGCAGACCTGGTGCCCAACGGCCAATGGGGGAAACTCAGGCTGTGGGCCATAATGATCTGGCCTCTGTTCTCAGTCAGTCCGACTGTAGACCTAAAGGTGGAAGTGAAGCCCAGGGTAGGCGCCGGAAGATGGCGTATCAAGACGGGAATGAATAAAAACGCAAACATACCACTTGTCTCGGGATAGTCTTTCAACCAGCTGCGGATATGAGTCCTTCAGGAGTAGTTTCCTATTCAATAGGACAGCCGAAAGACGCCGTCAGTCTCGTGGCGCATCTAAATTTGGGGGCGATCTATAGCACATCAGTTATTGGCCAGGCCTTCGCCACATATGTATGGTCATCCTCCGGATCGAGATAGCAAGTGCGGTTGCTATTATGTCTGTTTTGAAAGTTCAGGCGAACTAGCAAAATACATTGCAGACAATAAGAAGAAACGGCTCGAATGCCGGTGACGAATTGAAGTTCTGCAAAGGCTTGAGGCCTTTAGCACGACCTAGGGGGTAAAACGAAGATTGTCGTGTTATAACATTTTTATAAATAGTATAAAAGCTATCTTTCCAATGGAATATCACGCATAACCTTTCGGAAACTGATAAAGAAACAGATAAGCTAATGGAACTTATAGCTCTTAACAGGTACGCCACCAAACAGCTACCAGGCTTGCAACTTTTAACTACACTGCCTGTAATACAGCATTCGAATTCTGTTCTGTATGTTAGGTATTATTTTAAGAAATAGCTAAAGCTCGGGCTGTGGTGGTACCCCGGTAGCCCGTCGGGGTGTCCTCATGTATTTCGTATCTACCTAGGTAGGTTAAGTACCTAGGGACTTGTAAAAGCATTATAATCCTACCAAAAGCCTGTTTAAAAAAGGGGCTAAGCTAAGTCCAGCCCTACCAATCAAGTTCGTCGCTAGAACCCAGAGAGAGCAAAATATGCCTTAGAGGCACAGACAAAAGGGTCGTACCGTAGTGCCATGGCCCATAGTGTCTCGGCCGTCTCGTCATTTTATCATAAGAGAGAGAGCCTTGCGCTGGCCTAGCCACTTAGGCAGCTTTTCAGGTACCAAAGATATAAAAATCGGGTCCCATCAATCCACCGTCAACCGCTTCCCCCCCCAGTCCCCGTCCCCGTCCCATCTGCCATCTTAGGTACCTAGCTCCATCCCTGCCCTTCTGCCCTTCTAGGCATCCTAGGACATCCTAGCAATTTCAATTTCAAATTCCAGATTTCGGGGACGCGAACACGTTCGTCTCTCACCGTCGCTTCTTAACTCTACTTGCTCCAAGCTCCAAACTCCAACCCTCCTCAACTTCCTCTCCAACAATTATCGACATTGTCGTAGTCTATGTCGGACACTCGCTTTTCATTTTCCGAGCTTCAAGTTGCTCACCGTAACTGATTTATTATTTAAAAGTTGGACTGGACTGGACTGCATTGGATTGTATCTTCAGCGGGAGAGAGATGCTTGTGCTCACCCTTGTCCTTCACGTATTTCAATACTCGGTCTAATCGCCCATTTCGCAAGCCGCACGCCTTTTTTTTTGGTCCGGAATTCGCATCTGAATATTATTATTATTATTATTATTTTATTCGCGACAACATATACTGTCTAACACTAATCTCTCTGTCCCTCTATATCTCACTTGGGTGAGTCTGTCCGGTCAACAACGAGTTTAAAGTTTGATATCCGTCATCTATATTTGTCTATATTCGTCAACCAGCATTTGCGCTCTTGGGGGAAAGGGGTATATTAAAAGAAAAAAAAAAGATATACAAGTAATTGGAACGACAAGGAGACCCAGCAGCATTACAGAGCGGGCTTTGCATTCGGCATCCGAATCAAGCGCAGTTTTAAAAAAATGATGTTGCGCATTTAGTTTACCCAATAGCAAGATTGAATAAGTGCGCCGAAGTGACAATCTCGGGGATTATATTGCCTTCCATACCTTGCTATATCTATCTAACTAGGTCGCTTTTTCTCTGACCAATCTGTACCAAGCCGTACCAATCCGATTGACTGCTCGCGTCAGACTATGAAAGCTCTCAAGGCCGCTGACAGGCCGTATTCGCCAGGTCTCGCCAACTCCAACCCCCCAGAAAAAAAGCTATCTTCTGGCTTCACCCCATTGCCGCCCATTCGCCGTACATCAACATTCGACCTATTATCGAGAAATAACTTCGACGGAGACGACGACGACGAGACCCCATCGCCAGTTGGATCTTCAGATAATGAAATTCCACCAGTACCTCCCATGAAGGACGGCATAAATTACCAACCAAACGGCAATGGGCATATGGCCGACCGGGCACAAGGCGGCGGACAAGTGAACGGCCAATTTATTCGAAACCAGAACTTCACCCACTCTCCGCCTCAGCATCACCCGGGGTTTGCTAACGGCTTTACCCCAGCTCCCAACGGGTTTGCAGCCGGCAGAAGTATTAGTCAACCTAACGGGTCTCAATCTCAGGGATATGTAGGAGGAGGTCCTGTAGCGTTACCTGTGCATCCCGGCCATAATTTTGCCTCGCAGATGGAAGGGAATCCTATTCAAAAATTACCTCCAGGTGGTCAATGGAAGCTAGAGGAGTCTCGCCTTACGGAACCTCTCATCCAACACAAGGCCCGACCGGGGGCGAATAGTCCATCGCAACAAACAGGCTATTACGCATATGATAAGGAAACCGAAGAGTCGCCTCCTACGAGAGGGCAGGGTCCACCACAACGGCCAAGAAATAACAGTAATAGCATACCGCCTGTCTCAGCCGATCGGTTTCGTAACCTCAATCTTTTTGCTCCAGGATCCCAACCATCACATCCGGCGCCCCAACCGCAAGCTGGTCCTGCTCTACCGCCCCGACCTAATGAAAATGTAAGTCAAGGACTGCGGGATGGTCATGATGTTGGGCTTAACAAAGAGGCGGATGGTAAGTCTACCATGTCCAAAACTAGATGGTCGGCTAATAATGTCATCAATTAGTCCACGTTGATGAGGTCTCGGTTTCGAGTGCTACCAGCGAGGGTCAAAATAGCACTCGGCGAGGTTCAGGATTCTTTAGTCTTACCCGCCGGGTCACGGGCGCTGAACAGGAACAGCAAAATTCAAACCATAACAATGCATCCACCAAGGACAAGGCGGCTTCTTTCCTCGGTATGTCGTCAAACCATGTCAAGTATCAACCAAATACGAAATCCGGCCTCGCGTCTTCCTTTGACCATGATGATAATGCAGAGCCTGCGTCGATGAGGAAGAGGTTGTCTGAGCTTACGGGAATGATAAAAGGTGTTGGGAACGCGAAGGATGGGACAAAGGATGACCAGCCAGCTAAACCGACTGGTACGTATGTTCCAAGACCTATGATGCAAGGTCCAATGCAAGGTCCAATGCAAAGCCAAATGCAAAGTCAAATGCAAGGTCCAATGCAAGGTTCAGTGCGCAACCAGATCGGGAATCAGCCATTTCAAGGGCAAGCTGGATTATATGCAGCCCCTTCCGGCATGTTAGGACGGAATAGTCCCAATGGACCTCGACCTCCCGAAGGTCAGCGTCCTCAAGGTGACGAAGACCGTGAAAAGAAGCATGGATTTTTAGGTGGACTTTTCAACCGGCAAGGGTATAAGTCATCAGAAACGAGATCAGAGTCGAGGCAACCGAGCCAGCTTACGTCGCCGCCCCCTCAGCGGCCACCGCCGCAATTTCCTCTGCAACCCGGACAACAAGTCCGACCGGGTCAGATACCCCCGGGACAACAATTCGGTCCGCATCCGATGTATCCCGGCGTACTTGCCATGCAACCGGGCTCGTTAGGAGAGCAGCAAGGCGTGCGAAGGCCTATAGCTCCCGGTTCAGGTCAACCAGATCCTTCTGATACTGTCCAGTCACCTACTTCACCCCAAGTTCTTGAAACTGCCCGGTTAGTTCAGATGCGACGTCCTTCCGAAATAACAGTCTCTCAGAACCCCCTTACCGGATCACCACTTTCGCCTAACCAACGACCACCAACGTCTCAAGGATCGCAAGCCGGTATGCGACCTGGCACCGCGCAGGATGGCAATGTAAGAAATTTTCCTAGACAGATGGGAGCCGATGATGGATTTTCTACCTCTGGCCAGCTTCCGAATGACTTCCATGCCCCCCCGCGCGCGACCTCCTTTGAAATGTCTAATGCTGGTGTATCTTCATCGGCAACACGCTCGACTCCGAATAGAAAACCTGTAGCTTCCGGTCTATCGAAGCAAGACGGTGTATCTCTTACTTCTACTCCGACGACACAAAATTCTATTCAGCAGTCGACGCCAAACCCAAGTGGAGGTGGTGATTCAACGCCGGGGTCCGAGAGCCCAGATGATGAACAGGGATTATCTAATCATCTTCCATCTGGCCAGCAAAGCCCTACCCTTGGCAAGCTAGGACATGTTCGCCAGACGTCTTTCCCGTCTCCGCCTGCGTTAACTCAGCCTGGCCAAGGAACTCCTACCTCAATTGGAAGTACCCAATTCTCTCCCCAAGCGGCGAGGCCCTCGCAGGATCGGCAGATTCTAGCACAATCACACGGGGACTCCCAAGGCCAGAGTTCAGCTGCTGGTGGCTGTCCACAGGATCAGCGATCAAGCTCGCCTTGGAGTCCAAATGTTACCTTCGTCGATCAACCACGTGCAGGACATCTACCAAGACCGCTAGCTTCGACTCCTGACCAGGGAAGCACATTGAGGAAATTTTTCGGCGTCGATCCAGACGGTGAGAGTATTACATCGGTAAAACCGGCAAAGGAGGCGAAAGAAAAGAATGCGGCGGCGAGATTATTGGGAGCCCTGAGAAGAGGCAATAAGTCTGAATCGACGAAGGTTGCCACCGGCCGTCAGACCCCTCCAGTACTACGGCCTGGCCAACAAACCATCGCAACAAATGTACCCCGGCCGTCCGTCAGCTCAGCCAACAACCAACCGTTAGGTCCTCAAGGGATGCAGGGCCCGGTTCGATCGCACCCTCCAATGATGCACGGAGCTGGACGCGGACAAGAACCTCAGTACGCCCAAGTCCCCATCCCCCGTGGTTACGAGGCTGTTCACGGTTATGGTCAGCCGGGTATGATAGCCCCTTCGCCATATAACATCGGACGACCCAGCCAACCACCCTCGAACCAACAATTCCCAGCCTTCGTACCGCCTAGCATTCCTCAAGGCGCTCCGCAACAATGGGATCCCCGAAATGGACCTATCCCACAAGGTATTCAATACGGCCCTCTCCCTGCCCATTTACAGCCAAATCACCAGGGTCTTCCACCACAGTTCCAGCAGAGACAGGCAGACTCGCAATCTACTACACCTACACCGTCCGACCAGGGTACTTTCTTGGACATGGCGGCTACTCCTCCTCAGCGACCCCGTGAAGACAACGGATACGATCCACAGTCAACTCAGGGTGTGCCGCCTCAAGCCATCGGCGGCCCCGCGTTCCATCAACCACCAATTAGGCTTCAGTCCAACCTCCATCAAGTCCAGACCCAGGAGGCGCAAACCCCCTCTAATTCGAATTGGGGCAGCGCTGCAGAAAGCATCCGAACGGGACAATCTCCTAGAAAGCCAGGCCCTCCAATACCCAACGGTAGTCTTCACTCCAAGCCGTCCGACCCTAACGTATCTCCCCCCAGCGACAGCGATGATACGCAACGGTCGCCTCATCAGCATATTGCGACGGCCATGAAGGGTACTCACGCGCATCCACAGGCACCTCAGCCTAGCGCTTCGCAAAATACTCTTCAATTCAACGCGGGCCGTTCCTTTTCTCCTATCGTCGCACAGACAAGGGTACCCGGCTTCGCAGGTCAGAACCAAATGCAGAGCCCACCTCCAATCCAGGAATCCGTCAGTCAAGGAATGCCCAACGGTACGGGCCATCATCTCGTAGGCAAAATGTCGACGACCAACCTGAACGAGCCGCCCCGAAACGCATCGCTCAGTCCAGACGTCAATGCAAACCGCGCGACGAATGTCAGCCCTGAGCCCCCCGCTCCTATTAGGTCGTCCCCCTACCACCAGGTGTCGAACAACAGCTTGAATATCAATGTTGACCACGCGAACAACCCCAAGGAAAACTACGGGGTGGAGGATGATATTTACGATGCTACGCCCAGACTGAACAGCACGGTACAGAACCAAGGCCAGTATCAAGATCAACTCTCAATCCAGGAACCAGTGCGCGCATACGAGAACACAAAATACGCCGGATCGGAGAAGAGCCGCACGGGCTCCACGAACGGAGGAGCGGTCGCGGCAGCCGGTGCCGGTGCCGGAATCGCCGGCGGCGCGGTTGGCCTGGCGGTTACAGCGGACACGAGCAGCATCCAGGGATCCGTAGTAGAAGACCCGTCGCCGCCACAGCGGCCTATTGTCATGAACGTGCCGGCGGAAGCCGAGGAGAAGATCGCCGTGGACCATCCGGTAGAGCTACCCGCGGTGAACGTCGACGACGACGACGGCATGCCCGTGATGAGCGCGACGTCGTACCCCGGGCAGGAGTGGAACCCGTACGAAGCCGGGGAGTTTGGAGACTTTGATATGTAATAAATTCATTCACGATGGTTTTCCTTGTTTCGGTTTGGAAATATGACACGATATTCCGACTTACAAAAAAAAGCGAGAGAAAGAGGGTGGAAAATATACCTCTTTACGTCTAAATATTTGCGATGTTAATATCGATGGAATCGTCATTAGCTGTTATTTCTTGTATGTTGGTTGGAGCTGAAGGGGATACAATTATACCATACCATACCATACCATACTATGCCTTACTATATCATATCATATATGTGATGTCTTTTATTTTTTTTTTCTTAATTTCTACGGATTAGTAGTTACATATTTTAGTTTTACATACCCTAGCGGAGAGCGTCTGCTTTCCGGATCGGAAGTTATCATCAAAATAGTCTTTGTCTTGAAAACTTTGGAGATTCTTGACATGTTAATACCACATGCAGGTAAATGCCCCATAGGTGATGTCACATATCCCCATAATATGTACCTGTGACAGAAATAGAATTATTCAAGTTATGCACCGCCACAACCGAGGCCGCGTTTGACCCTGCAATTTCGCAGAAGAAACAGACTGGCCTCAGGAGAGTTTTAAGGCTGAAGTTTTACGGCGCTGCTTTCATAACCTCAAACACCATGACCAAATAATCCCAAATTACATACTTTATTATCTTATCCTAATTAATCTTACCGGGGATCTCTACCTGCATAGTAATAATCAATTATACATCGTCTTAGATAAGGAAAAGCAAGCATAAATTACCTATCATCTAGAACCTTACCCAGGTACCTACCTCTACCTAACCTGGTATCTCACTTTCGAATCCAACACAGTTTTCCTTTATCCGGTTTTCCCGAATTCTTACCTCTACCTAAGATATTGTCACAACCTCGTTGCCGGTGTCAAAGTCTTCGTATACGATTCGAGCGACCCTCTTCGATCCTCACCGAGTTTCTATACTTTTCTACTCCCAGCAGCTACGACGTTACCTTGCTTCAGACACGCCTCCTATCATAATAATCCTACGATAAACCCGCCTTCGTCTACGCGAAGAGCAGAGAACGCAGAACGAAGAGCAGCCCTTAACTAGCCATCCCGACAACGTGTCAGGTCAGGATGGCCGTCGCATCTATACAAGACCGCACGGCCGAATTCCGGTCTGTGCTTACCCAAGTACAAAAACGACAGGCTTCATCCAAAGTCGGCGCGCAGAGGAGGTCGCTCTTAACCGATTCGCAAAAAGCTGCTGCCAATGGCGACGCGCAACCGCATAGGAGGTCAGAATTCGCTAGGCGCGCCGCCGAGATAGGGCGCGGGATCGCCGCTACAATGGTATTACCTTGCACCCGACTACGACGAAGTCGAGATTGAGATTGAGACACGCAAGAAGCTTGCTAACAGGAGTTTCAGGGCAAATTAGAGAAGCTGGCGCAGTTGGCGAAGCGCAAAACGTTATTCGATGACCGGCCCGTCGAGATCAACGAACTCACCTTTATGTATGGACCTTTCTACTTAAAATGCTGCCAGTTCACATCTGCTAGTTCACGTATCTAACATACATCTTTTCTCGCTAGAATAAAACAGGACCTGTCTTCCCTAAATCAGCAGATCAGCGGATTACAAGCACTGACGCGGCAACAACATCCCAAGGCGGATCAAGTCGGCGAGCACAATAAGAATATCGTGTTAATGCTACAAGGCAAACTGAGCGATGTTGGGGCCAATTTCAAGGACGTACTCGAGGTGCGCACCAAGAATATCCAGGCGTCGCGGTCGCGCACCGAGAACTTCATATCCTCCGTATCGCAACATGTCCAGCCACCATCTATTCAACAATCTGCAAGCCCCTTGTACGGAACACCGAACCGGGGTACACCATCGCCCGGCGCGGACCTCTTAACGCTTAACCCCCCGGCAGCGATAGGCGACCAACAGTTGCTCATGATGGAAGAGGCAGCGCCGCAAAACTCGTACATCCAGCAGCGAGGCGAAGCCATCGAGGCTATCGAGAAGACCATCAGCGAGCTAGGGTCGATCTTTGGGCAATTGGCGCAGATGGTCTCGGAGCAAAGCGAGATGATCCAGCGTATTGACGCCAACACCGAAGACGTCGTCGACAACGTTCAAGGCGCCCAGCGCGAATTGCTCAAGTACTGGTCGCGCGTATCCAGCAATCGGTGGTTGATCGCTAAGATGTTTGGCGTGTTGATGATATTTTTCCTGTGAGTCTTCTTTTTCTCACCGCGCTCCCACTTGATTCTAGCTAACCGTGTAAAATAGTTTATGGGTTCTTATCGCCGGTTAAGAACAAAGCATATGCGAGACCTGTATGAATCAAGAGAAACGAGAGAGATCCTAGTAGAGGTGCCGGTGTACTACTACTACTATTATTATTACTATTACTGCTATTACTGCTATATTATTCACTCTGTATATTATTACGCCGCGTGCCCCCTGGTTCGGGGACGGCGAGCAGTTGGACTACATTTAGTAGACTTTTTAATGGCGTGCATGGCGACGACTTGTTTAATGCATGCAAAGGAATCCTTGAATCCGAATAATGATGAGTACGGTCTTGGCCATGTTAATGTTATTTGGTGCATGATCGTAACTTTTGCGTTCGAGTTTCCCTCGCCTTGGTTGAGTGCTGAACGGGATTGGGTCGGTTCTGGGTAAAATGCTCGCTCTTAGGGAGAAGGTAGGTAGGTAATGAGTTGCAAATTCTGATAACCATAATTCATGATAATTATTGGTGTAGGGGGTTTACAAGGATAGGGGGGATGGGGGATACTCGGTCTTGAATCCAACCGAAGCTTGCTCCTATAATCAATTAACGGATTTATTTCTCCATTGACATATCGCACGAACAACAAGGTCTTCTCGAAGAAACCAAAAGCAATTTTCGATAGGAAGTCGGCGTTTTAATAAAAACGGCAGTATTTACAAGAATTTTTAGTACCTAGGTCATAAGCTCCCAGCAACTCGTCTCGTACCTTGCGGGCGGCGGGGTTTCCCCTACTTTAGTTTAGTCCACGTGTAAGTCGCTGCGGTTGAATCACATCATCCCGAGTAGAATTTGAAATTTCGACCAGTGACGTTTTTCGGTGACCGACTACCCCGACATCGACGGCTTAGTGGAATAACCAAGTATCTAGCCTCTAGTAGATCAGCTCTAGAGTTAAGTACCAGTATAGGAGGCAAGATACCTCTAATAAATGTTGGATACTTGTTCGTAGAATGCATTTGGCAGTATAAGAAATAGTGATTATATATAGGTAGGTAGGTAGTCTACTTCTACTTATAGCGTTTGCCTTAACGGAATGGCAAGTAGGTGGTTATTATACGCTAATTAAGGATATAGATGCTTGAAGTCTTTACCCGGTATCACTTACACATTTGTCTAGGTACGAGATTCTTCTAGTACCATTGCATTAGACAACAGACAGACAGAAAAGGAACATATCCGAAACCACCCCGCGGGACGACCCCAGTCACTATAGCATCGTGAGCGGAGTACAGCTCGCAAGTCGTTCCGCAACTAGCCTCCCCCCTTATCTATACTACTTTGTACCATAGCTCCCTCATTAGTCTACGTAGGCTCGCGTCGTATTTTGCCGGATGTGTCATGATAAATACTGTTACGTAGCCTCTAGGAGGTATCTTGTAGATCGATGACAATATGCCATCTAGGTAGAATATAAATGTCTTTGTCCTTTAATTTATAGTAACTCTAATCGAAAGCTGGCTTGAACGCATAAGGTGCGCGCAGATATAACACATAAGTGAATACTTCTAACTTCTAACTGCACGATGGCACCCTCGTCTTTCAAACTTAACACGGGCCAGGAGATCCCCGCTGTCGGGTTCGGTACGTCCATTTGTTCAACCAGTCGCTTGACCCCCCTCCCCCTCTTCTCACTTTCGCAACACTAGATGAGAAGAAGTAGATCTTTCTTCCAGCATTATCGCAGCAGCTGTCGCAAAAACTAGACACTCAGTACTAAAGTATTATGATAATAATCACGAGCTTCCCAAAAAGAAATGTCCTCTCGGATTATACACTATCAGATGTCACCATCCACTCACTAACACGAACCCCGCCGCAAAATAGGAACATGGCAAGCTGCGCCGGGCGAAGTCGCCAAAGCCGTCGAGCTCGCGATAAAACACGGCTATAAGTTAATCGATGCGGCCTACTGCTACGCGAACGAGGAAGAGGTCGGACAGGGCCTCAAGGCGGCTTTCGACGCCGGCTACGCCAAGCGCGAGGACATCTTCATCATGACCAAGGTGTGGAACACGTACAGCAGCCGGGTCGAGCTCGGCCTGGACAAGTCGCTCAAGGCCCTCGGGCTCGACTACGTCGACCTGTTCCTCGTGCACTGGCCCGTGGGCATGAACCCCAACGGCAACGACGACCGCTTCCCCAAGCTGCCCGACGGCAGCCGCGATATCCTCTGGGACCACGATCACGTCGCCACCTGGAAGCAGATGGAGGGCCTTCTCGAGACCGGCAAGACGAAGGGCATCGGCGTCTGCAACTACAGCAAGCCGTACCTGGAGCAGCTGCTGGCCAAGGCCGAAGTCGTGCCCGCTATCAACCAGATCGAAAACCACCCGGCTTTGCCGCAGCAGGAGGTTGTCGACCTCTGTAAGGAGAAGGGTATCCACGTCGTGGCGTACAGCCCCTTGGGGAGCACAGGTGGCCCGTTGCTGCAGAGCGAGGCTGTTACCAAGGTCGCCCAGAGGAAGGGAGTTAGCCCTGCAACGATCTTGCTAAGCTACCACGGTACGCTATTCTCTACCACCTAATCTGGGGGGGGGGGGGGGGGGGGGGGGGGGGGCGGGGGGCGGGGGGGGGCGGGGGGCGGGGGGGGGGGGGGGGGGGGGCCCGCGAAG